GGAATTTAAACATATCCACGTTTCCCGATACAGAACATAAAAAGAGTGGAGAGGCATCATACTTGTTACTTAATTTCAACAATTCTGGGTATCGGTCAACCAGGTATTTGATAATGGTCACCTGGTCACCAACTACCGCCCAACACAGAACGGAAGCTTCGGCTTTAGTGTCCTTGACTTCTGTAATGTCCTTTACCTGTGTCAACTGTTGCTGGAGTCCGGCAAGGTCCCCGGTGTAGGCTGACCACAACACTGGGTATCGACTGCGTTCAGATTCGATCCAGTCATATCTCTGTATCGTCATTACAGGCATGACTTACTGTGATAATAGGAACAGTTATTAATAAAACATACAGCACATTGTAAAAAGTTGTTTTTATAGAAATGCGATAACAGACGGAACGCAATCCACGATAGTTATCAATAACGACCAAATGTGATCAAGAACACTTTGCTGACTATCATCAACTACCACACCGCTTATCTTCTGAATGGTTTTATGTACAAAAAGATTAAATGGTGTCTTGAGTAATCTATGAATCATGATCTATTGTATTGAGTTTTCGAGAACCGGTTCCTTACCTGGTTCCACTTTCGATATGTGTTCCTTACCTGGTTCCACTTTCGATATGTGTTCCTTACCTTGTTCCATTTTCGATACGTGTTCCTTACCTTGTTCCACTTTCGATATGTGTTCCTTACCTGGTTCCACTTTCGATACGTGTTCCTTACCTGGTTCCACTTTCGATACGTGTTCCTTACCTGGTTCCACTTTCGATACGTGTTCCTTACCTGGTTCCACTTTCGATACGTGTTCCTTACCTGGTTCCATTTTCGATACGTGTTCCTTACCTGGTTCCACTTTCGATACGTGTTCCTTACCTGGTTCCATTTTCGATACGTGTTCCTTTCCTTGTTCCACCTTCGATACGTGTTCCTTACCTTGTTCCACCTTCGATACGTGTTCCTTACCTTGTTCCACCTTCGATACGTGTTCCTTACCTTGTTCCACCTTCGATATGTGTTCCTTACCTTGTTCCACTTTCGATACGTGTTCCTTACCTGGTTCCACTTTCGATACGTGTTCCTTACCTGGTTCCACTTTCGATACGTGTTCCTTACCTGGTTCCACTTTCGATACGTGTTCCTTACCTGGTTCCACATTCGATACGTGTTCCTTACCTGGTTCCACTTTCGATATGTGTTCCTTACCTGGTTCCACTTTCAATATGTGTTCCTTACCTGGTTCCACTTCCGAACGTCACTGGATTGACATTCAAAATGGATTAATATTATAAACACTTCACTATCCCTTCACGGACTAGTCAGTGTGTACACATTTAGCTGATTGATCGGCATGTTCCTATTTAACAATAATCCAATATATATATAGAAACGCCACTGACCACAACTTTCGTGTATGACTTACTCTTGTGTGCACAAATCTACGATTACTGAAAATACGAGAATGGCTCCCGTGTCCTCTGTTTAACAAACACTGCCGTCTTTAAATAGGATTTACCAGATGTTATTTATATCGGCCAATGTATGAACAGGATTTTGTGTAATGGGTGTATAAAGCACTTGTTATAGACTCGTCAACAACCAATGCAGACCATAAACTGGCGGGCGTTTTTTCTGCAAACCTTTACTCCAGTGATGTTGGCATTGTATTTAGTCTGTACACAGTGGTTGGTCCAGATATCAAGATTCCTTTGATCGAGATATAGACTGCTGGAAACGTGCATGGTAATATTATTTCCTGGTGTTATACTAAATAAGACGTCCTAGGTCCTCTTAATAGTATCGTTACATTACTAACGAGTATTTGCCCATATTTATACAGCGGATGACATCGACAAAGCAGAAGACGTTTATCTTTCCGCAACACCTGGACACAAATGTAGGATAGCTTCTGTTGCTCAAGTTCGTCCTCGTTTTATTTGTTTCGCCCGATATTTCAATTTCCACTCAAGTTGGACTCAATGAAATCTAAAAAAAGTAGATCGGGAGGTCCTATGACGTCATTATTCAACAAATTTCATAAGTTTTCGTCAAGAATGATTTGAAAAGAAATTCAAGTACGGAAACAAAGTCCACCAAGACAATCTTTCACCTTCAATCTCAAAGAATTGGCGTTGAAAGTGAACAGCATCTCGGTACAACTGTAGAACCCACTTTTCTTCATATTTGTTTCCCCGCTTTCAATATTTTAGAACGTGTTTGAACATACAATCATTGATGAAATATGAATGTATGATGGCATTCATTGTTTTGTCTGTAATGCCTCATTTTTATTGAAAGACCAATCATGTTGTATAGCTTGAAACCAGTCACTCACAGTTAAAAACATTATCTTTTATAGTTAAATGGAGAATGTTGTAGTTGCAGAAACGACTTGACACGCCCGAGCTGAAGAAAGTAGCTTGAAAATGTAAGTGTTAGTTAGCGTTTGCTCTGGAAAGCATGGTCTATTCCAAATTGTCTTTGCTTTCTTGCAGTTTTAACAAAGTTCTTTTTTGTTTTTGTTTTGTTTTGTTTTTAATCCTTTATTGGTAAAATGTCTCGAGTTATTGACGATGCTTTGAGTGTTGTGCTCGGATAGTAAAGGGACTCTTGACTCTTTCAGGATTTCTAAAGATGATATAAATCTGACATTTTAAGCCCATGCTTTATTGCTATGAATCAATCAATCCACCTTTCCAAGTGTATAGAACATTTTTCCGGAAACCCTAAGTGGGTGATTTTTAAGCAAAGACGGAGACAGTGATATATTTTCATCGTGACATAATTATACGATAATGAATTTCCCTCCGTGCAGGCCATTTTCCCTACAGTCAATCCAGACAGCTTTCAAAAGCAACCCACATTGAATTCGGGCTACTTACTGCCCTAGTCAACAAAGACAACCTCCAATAGTAACATGTGATCGACTTAGACAACCTGACCGTCAACCCTTTTCCCCATCAACTTATCCAGCAGGACTTTACAACTTGTACTTCCATTTATATCTCCTGTTGTAACTGAATTACATCCTAGTTAATTATGAAGACAAAATCCCGTACTTCAACCTACTTGCAACAGACTGTTTATGTTTCTTTAACACTGGGTATCTGCATTATTAGAGAAAACATCGTGAAAATATAACCATGGCAACAGAATCATAATTCAAACTCAAATTCTTTAAAACTAGGGGAAAATATGAACTATAGAAAGTTTTACATGGAGACTCCTGAAAAGTAAAAAGAAGAATAAGATCACGTGTTCCGGAAGTGTAAGTGTTTTCTGCTTCACGATACCTGCCATGTAAACCTTGGTCAATCCAAGTAAGTAATGTACCAGGTAATAGAATACATAATATATGGCAGGTACTCTATCTCTATATAAAAAAAATATCATATCTTTACTTTTATACCTATTAAAGTACAGGTGTATTATGAATTTGATCATTAGAATATAATTGTATATGCCAATTTAGGATAAAATATCTGGTACAAACTATGCCTAGTTCTATGAGATTGACATATTGATATCCATGTACCTTAAAATATATCAAAATCAATAAAATTATAGAATACATACAAAAGAAATCGTGGTGTAGAGGTACAACACTAGTTTCTGGTTACTTTGGTGTAGAGGTACAACATCAGTTTCTGGTTACTTTGGTGTAGAGGTACAACACTAGTTTCTGGTTACTTTGGTGTAGAGGTACAACATCACTTTCCGGTTACTTTGGTGTAGAGGTACAACATCAGATTCCGGTTACTTTGGTGTACCTCCAACATCAGTTTTCGGTTACTTTGGTGTAGAGGTATAACATCAGTTTCCAGTTACTCTGCTGTAGAGGTACAACATCAGTTTCCGGTTACTTTGGTGTAGAGGTATAACATCAGTTTCCAGTTACTCTGCTGTAGAGGTACAACATCAGTTTCCGGTTACTTTGGTGTAGAGGTACAATATCAGTTTCTAGTTGCGTTGGTGGAGAGGTACAACATCACTTTCTTTGTTCGGATAATACTGAACATTTTCGTCAGGTTGGAAAGTAAGGATTATGTAAAGATTCTTTATACACAACCAGGAATTTTAATATGTGACGTTTCGATGACCAGTACGATCCGTACGCTGTCACCTTCCTCAGACAAATGACCAGTAAAGCATGTACACAAAGGTGTGATATGTGTACGAGTTGTCGTGGAATAGCGTCGATTTCGGACATGCTGACAAGTGCCGAAATGACTGTTAGCGAATAGTAAAACCATTCGACTACACAAACCTCCAGATCAAGGACATCATGGATCTGCTAGAATTTGTACTAACCACAACATATTTCACATTCCGAGGCAACATCTACCAGCAACGCTTTGGAACTGCTATGGGGAGTCCAGTGTCGCCTATTGTCGCCAATCTGTTCATGGAACATCTAGAACAACAAGCAATAGCCACTGCCCCCATAGATTGCAAGCCAGGCCTATGGAAACGATATGTCGATGACATTTTAGAAATAATCAAGAAGGGATCACAGAAAGATCTAACTAACCACATAAACACTATTGACACCACTAACAACATCAAGTTTACATGTGAGGAAGAAACCAATTGCGGAATGCCCTTCCTAGACACACGTATAGCCAGAAGAGAAGACGGAACAGTGAAGTTATTGGTCTACAGGAAAAAGACCCACACAGACCAATACCTCAACTTTAAATCCCACCACCCTTTACATCAGAAGTTAGGGGTCGTACGCACGTTGCTCAATCGATGTGAGACCATAGTCACAGAACAACAGGACAAAATTCAAGAGCAGAGCCACATCATGAAAGCAATGAAAAATCGTGAATATCCGGAATGGGCCCTTAAACGGGTACAAAAACAGTGTCAAAATAAAGGAAAAAACAGAAAAAGATCAAAACAAAACAAAAATCCAGGTGGTCATCCCATATATAAAGGGTATATCTGAAACCATCCAAAGGATATGCCGCAACCATGGCATAGCAACAGCCATGAAGCCCCACAAGACGCTTCGAAATATCCTAGTCCACCCTAAGGATAAGATAACCAAAGAGAATGTCGCAGAATGCATATACAAGATCGGGTGCAAAAACTGTGACGCGTCATATATTGGAGAGACTGGAAGGCGATTCGGGGTTCGCCTTGGGGAGCACCGGAAAGACACCGAAAGACAAGAGGAAAAGAAGTTCACCCGATCAGAGAGGAAGCAGTCAGAGTCCCAGTTAAACAAATCGGCAATCACTGACCATGCCATGCAGGAAAACCATGTGATTGACTGGGAAAACTCAAAGGTGCTCGATAGGGAGAACCATCTTCTGAAGCGACAGATCAAAGAAGCCATCTGGATACGCCGCAGCGGGGCAGTTCTGAACCGAGATGAGGGGGCTCATAGACTCTCGCACATCTATGACCAAGTAATAAAATAACCGTAGCCGAATGGTTTTACTATTCGCTAACAGTCATTTCGGAACTTGTCAGCACGTCCGAAATCGACGCTATTCCACGACAACTCGTACACATATCACACCTTTGTGTACATGCTTTACTGGTCATTTGTCTGAGGAAGGTGACAGCGTACGGATCGTACTGGTCACCGAAACGTCACATATTAAAATTCCTGGTTGTGTATAGAGAATCTTTACATAACATCCCTTTCTGGTCACTCAGCCTACATATCTGAGACCGACAAATTGATACTTTCAACATATCTATGATTTACTAATGAGCAAGTTAGCTTTCGACGATCGGATATAAAAAAAACTACTGATAAATGCTTTTAAGTTGCTTTGAGTTTTATTTTGACGGACTTTCAAATGACACAGACCATGTTAATGCCGCATTCGCAGTACAGGTGTACATTTACACTTACATGCCGTGAACATTGTGTGACGTAACATCGATCGGTGTATATCTGTTACTGTGCACGACAGTACACACAAAACAAGTGGCAATGAAATTATTTTTAACAAAAATATTCAAATATACCATCACGCCCAAAGCTAACGGCCAGGAATTAAAAGCGAATATTAATAGTATTAATAATGGACGCATGCTTAGACCCTCTATGTCCATATCGTACATAAACATTTATAATCAATTATAATCAGTTCGATATCCATGGTTTGATAATTACAATGTACATACATTAAACTACTAGTGTTTGTCTAACATGACTTCAGACCCAAATACGGTTTTTGCATTAACGGCACCTAGAGGTAAAGTGTTCCCTAAATCTACCACTCTATGGCTAAAAAAGTGTTTTCTAATGTCGAGACTAGTGTTCTAATTTGAAAGAAGTTTCCAGTAACTCTGCAGTCATATATATCGTTAACTAATTTGTAAACATTTATAATGTCCCCTCTTTTCCTTCTATAATGAAGAGTAGGAAGATTTCATCTTTCTAGGCGTTCTGAATAAGAAAGATTTTTAAGTGTGCAATCGATAACTGCGATCAGCAGATTTTTTTTTGCACAAAGAGAGAGATGGTAGTGACGGAAATGAAGCCATGGAAGTTCTAGAGTGGAATAAGTAATAATTTAACCCAATCAAAATTTGCGACACTCTTTAAAATATGCTAAAGTAGTTTTCGTTTGACAACGACTGTATTATTTAGGTTGTGAACCGTCGTTCATTGACGACGCTTAGATCAATCAATCCCACAATCCTCAGTTGACATTCTTAGGCGAAAATGGCGAATGTTGAACCTGACTACGACCAAGCTGGGGACGATGATTCCGTCAGAGTGAAAGTGATATGTTTAGGAGACAGTGCGGTCGGGAAATCAAAGTAAATAGAAGTTTATTTGCAATTTCAAATGCATCATGCCTCTGTACATGCAATGATTCTGTCAAGTTGCTTCTGAACTTAGCTATATTTAATAGTCCATTGGTTTTGTAAAGGCCGAGTTTGTGGTTAGGATTGTTTTGAGCACTTGAGTTCCACTGCATCCCCTCAAATCCGATTATTTCATATTTAATATGAATTATAATCTTACATGACACAAATTACTTGTCTATTGTTTCTTTCTATGTATACTAAATGTCCGACTTACTCTGAGTATGTGAAGTGATTGAGTCTCTATGTGGAGTTACTTGTTCTGATATATACCTGCCAAAATTTATCATTTATATCTCGATCTCAATTCTGTCATTCTGTTGTAGGTTGGTGGAGAGATTCCTAATGGATGGATAGTATCCTTTGTAGTATACTTTAAAACCTGCTGTGATAAGCCTGCAGTTGATTAGAAATACATTCATGAAATATCTCTAGATGATTGACATTTTGAATCTGCCTTGTTTTCTTCACAGCGACTCATGTTCTGGTCATGAGTACACCTGTATAATCAGTTATGAAGGTTCCTCTGTGATTTTGAGGTTTTTACCATACAGTCTTACTACTCCATTGTATCTATTTACACAAATAAACATTCAACAAATGTTTGTCAAATATGTGAAATTGATATTTGGATGCTCCATGCTAGCTGGTATGGATGGTCCATGCTGGTCGGTTTGGACACTCCGTGCTGGTCGGTTTGGATGGTCCATACTGGTCAGTTTGGATGGTCCGTGCTGGTTGGTTTTGATGGTCCGTGCTCGTTGGTTTGGATGGTCCATGCTGGTCGGTTTGGATACTCCATGCTTGTCGGTTTGGATGATCCATGCTGGTCGGTATGAATACTCCATGCTGGTCAGTTTGGATGGTCCATGCTGGTCGGTTTGGATACTCCATGCTTGTCGGTTTGGATGATCCATGCTGGTCGGTATGAATACTCCATGATGGTCAGTTTGGATGGTCCATGCTGGTCGGTTTGGATGGTCCATACTGGTCGGTATGGATACTCCATGCTGGTCGGTTTGGATAGTCCATGCTGGTCGGTTTGGATACTCCATGCTTGTCGGTTTTGATGGTCCATTCTGGTCGGTTTGAATGGTCCATACTGGTCGGTATGGATACTCCATGCTGGTCGGTTTGGATGGTCAAAGCTGGTCAGTATGAATACTCCATGCTAGCTGGTTTGGATACTCCATGCTGGTCGGTTTGGATGGTCGATGCTGGTCGGTTCAGATGGTTCATGCTGGTCGGTTTGGATGCCCAATGCTGGTTGGTTTGGATGGTCCATGCTGGTCGGTTTGGATGGTCAATGCTGGTGGGTTTGGATGCCCAATGCTGGTTGGTTTGGATGGTCCATGCTGGTCGGTTTGGATGGTCCATGCTGGTCGGTTTGGATGCCCAATGCTGGTCGGTTTGGATGGTCCATGCTGGTAGGTTTAGATGCTCCATGTTGGTCGGTATGGATACTCCATGCTGGTCGGTATGGATGGTCCATGCTGGTCGGTTTGGATGGTCCATGCTGGTCAGTTTTGATGGTCAGTTTGGATGGTCCATGCTGGTCGGTATGGATGCTCCATGCTAGCTGGTTTGGATACTCCGTGCTGGCTGGTTTGGATACTCCATGCTGGTTGGTTTGGATACTCCATGTTGGTCAGTTTTATACTCCATGCTGGCTGGTTTGGATACTCCCTGCTGGTCGGTTTGGATACTCCTTGCTGGTCGGTTTGGATGCCCAATGCTGGTCGGTTTGGATGGTCCATGCTTGTTGGTTTAGATGCTCCATGTTGGTCGGTATGGATACTCCATGCTGGTCGGTATGGATGGTCCATGCTGGTCGGTTTTGATGGTCCATGCTGGTCGGTTTTGATGGTCGGTTTGGATACTCCATGTTGGTCAGTTTTGATACTCCATGCTGGCTGGTTTGGATACTCCATGCTGGTCGGTTTGAATACTCCATGCTGGTCGGTTTGGAGGATCCATGCTGGTCGGTTTGGATGGTCCATGCTGGTCGATTTGGATACTCCATGCTGGTTGGTTTGGATGGTCCATGCTGGTCGGTTTGGACGGTCCATGCTGGTCGGTTTGGATGCCCATTGCTGGTTGGTTTGGATGGTCCATGCTGGTCGGTTTGGATGGTCAATGCTGGTTGGTTTAGATGCTTTATGTTGGTCGGTATGGATACTCCATGTTGGTTAGTATGGATACTCCATGCTGGCTGGTTTGGATACTCCATGCTGGTCGGTTTGGATACTCCATGTTGGTCAGTTTTGATACTCCATGCTGGCTGGTTTGGATACTCCATGCTGGTCGGTTTGGATGGTCCATACTGGTCGGTATGGATACTCCATGATGGTCGGTATGGATGGTCCATGCTGGTTGGTTTAGATGCTCCATGTTGGTCGGTATGGATACTCCATGTTGGTCGGTATGGATGCTCCATGCTGGTCGGTATGGATGGTCCATGCTGGTTGGTTTGGATGGTCCATGCTGGTCGGTTTGGATGGTCGGTCATGTTGGTCGGTATGGATCTCCATGTTGGTCGGTATGGATACTTCGTGCTGGTCGGTTTGGATGGTCCATGCTGGTCGGTTTGGATACTCCATGTTGGTCGGTATGGATACTCCATGTTCGTCGGTATGGATACTCCATGCTGGTCGGTATGGATGGTCCATGCTGGTCGGTTTGGATGGTCCATGCTGGTCGGTTTGGATGGTCCATGCTAGTCGGTATGGATGCTCCATGCTGGTTGGTTTGGATACTCCATGTTGGTCAGTTTTGATACTCCATGCTGGCTGGTTTGGATACTCCATGCTGGTCGGTTTGGAGGATCCATGCTAGTCGGTTTGGATGGTCAAAGCTGGTCAGTATGAATACTACATGCTAGCTGGTTTGGATACTCCATGCTGGTCGGTTTGGATGGTCAGTGCTGGTCGGTTTGGATGCCCAGTGCTGTTTGGTTTGGATGGTCCATGCTGGTCGGTTTGGATGGTTCATGCTGGTTGGTTTAGATGCTTTATATTGGTCGGTATGGATACTCCATGTTGGTCGGTATGGATACTCCGTGCTGGCCGGTTTGGATACTCCATGCTGGTCGATTTGGATACTCCATGTTGGTCAGTTTTGATACTCCTTGCTGGCTGGTTTGGATACTCCATGCTGGTCAGTTTGGATGGTCCATGCTGGTCGGTATGGATGGTCCGTGCTGGTCGGTATGAATGCTCCGTGCTAGTAGGTATGAATACTCCATGCTGGTCGGTTTGGATGGTCCATGCTGGTCGGGTATGGATGTTCCATACTGGTCGGTTTGGATGGTCCATGCTGGTCGGTTTGGATACTCCGTGCAAGCTGGTATGGATGGTCCATACTGGTCGGTTTGGATGGTCCGTGCTGGTCGGTTTGGATACGTTTGGATACTTCGTGCTGGTCGGTTTGGATGGTCCATGCTGGTCGGTTTGGATACTCCGTGCTGGTCGGTTTGGATGGTCCGTGCTGGTCGGTTTGGATACACCGTGCTGGTCGGTTTGGATGGTCCGTGCTGGTCGGTTTGGATACTCCGTGCTGGTCGGTTTGGATGGTCCGTGCTGGTCGGTTTGGATGGTCCGTGCTGGTCGGTTTGGATACTCCGTGCTGGTCAGTTTCGATGGTCCGTGCTGGTCGGTTTGGATGGTCCATTCTGGTCGGTTTCGATGGATGACTGGCTTGTTACATTTTTGGATAGTCCATGCTGGTCTTTGGATTTTGATGGTCCATATATTGCTGGTAGGTTTGGAAGCTGGTATATTAAAGTCCCGGTCCGTGCTGGTCGGTTTGGACGGTCCGTGCTGGTGAGCAATGAAAACTACAGACTGGATTGATGACTGGCTTGTTACATTTTTTAGCAATTTGAAATAGTTGAAAATACTTCTTTTACAGTTATGAAGAGAGTAAGGTAAAAATATATATTGTTAGTGGGTATATTTGTCAAAGGTACAACTCAAGATAGTTTCTCAAACATATTAAAGTCCCTGAATTACAGTTTGATTCCCTTTATGATTTTCCTATTTTTCAGCAGCATTGAAAACTTTCATTATTCTTTCCTTGATGTAGCCCAGCAAACCCCAACAACTTTCAACATTTGCTCTTACACTTTTTAACTATAGAACAGAGGTCAACGACCAGAAAGTGTCTGTTGGTAAGTACCTGAAAGTGTCTGTTGGTAAGTACCTGAAAGTGTCTGTTGGTATGTACCAGTAAGTGTCTGTTGGTATGTACCACTATTGGTATGTACCAGTAAGTGTCTGTTGGTATGTACCAGTAAATGTCTGTTGGTATGTATCACTGTTGGTATGTACCAGTAAGTGTGTGTTGGTATGTACCAGTAAGTGTCTGTTGGTATGTATCACTGTTGGTATGTACCAGTAAGTATCTGTTGGTATGTACCAGTAAGTGTCTGTTGGTATGTACCAGTAAGTGTCTGTTGGTATGTAACACTGTTGGTATGTACCAGTAAGTGTCTGTTGGTATGTACCAGTAAGTGTTTATTGGTACGTACCAGTAAGTGTCTGTTGGTATGTACCAGTACCAGTAAGTGTCTGTTTTTTTGTCTCACTGTTTGTATGTACCAGTAAGTGACTGTTGGTATGTACCAGTAAGTGACTGTTGGTATGTACCAGTAAGTGTCTGTTGGTATGTACCAGTAAGTGTCTGTTGGTATGTACCACTGTTGGTATGTACCAGTAAGTGTCTGTTGGTATGTACCAGTAAGTGACTGTCTGTTGGTATGTACCAGTAAGTGTGTTGGTATGTACCAGTAAGTGTCTGTTGGTATGTACCAGTAAGTGTCTGTTGGTATGTACCAGTAAGTGTCTGTTGGTATGTACCATGTACCAGTAAGTGTCTGTTGGTATGTACCAGTAAGTGTCTGTTGGTATGTACCAGTAAGTGACTGTTGGTATGTACCAGTAAGTGTCTGTTGGTATGTACCAGTAAGTGACTGTTGGTATGTACCAGTAAGTGTCTGTTGGTATGTACCAGTAAGTGACTGTTGGTATGTACCAGTAAGTGTCTGTTGGTATGTACCAGTAAGTGTCTGTTGGTATGTACCAGTAAGTGTCTGTTGGTATGTACCAGTAAGTGACTGTTGGTATGTACCAGTAAGTGTCTGTTGGTATGTACCAGTAAGTGTCTGTTGGTATGTACCAGTAAGTGTCTGTTGGTATGTACCAGTAAGTGTCTGTTGGTATGTACCAGTAAGTGTCTGTTGGTATGTACCAGTAAGTGTCTGTTGGTATGTACCAGTAAGTGTCTGTTGGTATGTACCAGTAAGTGTCTGTTGGTATGTACCAGTAAGTGTCTGTTGGTATGTACCAGTAAGTGACTGTTGGTATGTACCAGTAAGTGTCTGTTGGTATGTACCAGTAAGTGTCTGTTGGTATGTACCAGTTGGTATGTACTGTAAGTGGTTGGTATGTACCAGTAAGTGTCTGTTGGTATGTACCAGTAAGTGTCTGTTGGTATGTACCAGTAAGTGTCTGTTGGTATGTACCAGTAAGTGACTGTTGGTATGTACCAGTAAGTGTCTGTTGGTATGTACCAGTAAGTGTCTGTTGGTATGTACCAGTAAGTGACTGTTGGTATGTACCAGTAAGTGTCTGTTGGTATGTACCAGTAAGTGACTGTTGGTATGTACCAGTGATGGTCTGTACCAGTAAGTGTCTGTTGGTATGTACCAGTAAGTGACTGTTGGTATGTACCAGTAAGTGACTGTTGGTATGTACCAGTAAGTGTCTGTTGGTATGTACCAGTAAGTGTCTGTTGGTATGTACCAGTAAGTGTCTGTTGGTATGTACCAGTAAGTGACTGTTGGTATGTACCAGTAAGTGACTGTTGGTATGTACCAGTAAGTGACTGTTGGTATGTACCAGTAAGTGTCTGTTGGTATGTACCAGTAAGTGACTGTTGGTATGTACCAGTAAGTGACTGTTGGTATGTACCAGTAAGTGACTGTTGGTATGTACCAGTAAGTGACTGTTGGTATGTACCAGTAAGTGACTGTTGGTATGTACCAGTAAGTGACTGTTGGTATGTACCAGTAAGTGACTGTTGGTATGTACCAGTAAGTGACTGTTGGTATGTACCAGTAAGTGACTGTTGGTATGTACCAGTAAGTGTCTGTTGGTATGTACCAGTAAGTGTCTGTTGGTATGTACCAGTAAGTGTCTGTTGGTATGTACCAGTAAGTGACTGTTGGTATGTACCAGTAAGTGACTGTTGGTATGTACCAGTAAGTGACTGTTGGTATGTACCAGTAAGTGACTGTTGGTATGTACCAGTAAGTGACTGTTGGTATGTACCAGTAAGTGACTGTTGGTATGTACCAGTAAGTGACTGTTGGTATGTACCAGTAAGTGTCTGTTGGTATGTACCAGTAAGTGACTGTTGGTATGTACCAGTAAGTGTCTGTTGGTATGTACCAGTAAGTGACTGTTGGTATGTACCAGTAAGTGACTGTTGGTATGTACCAGTAAGTGTCTGTTGGTATGTACCACTGTTGGTATGTACCAGTAAGTGTCTGTTGGTATGTACCAGTAAGTGACTGTTGGTATGTACCAGTAAGTGTCTGTTGGTATGTGAACAGTTAGTGAACTGTTGGTAGCGTACCGGGTCTGTTGGTATGTACCAGTAAGTGTCTGTTGGTATGTACCAGTAAGTGTCTGTTGGTATGTACCAGTAAGTGTCTGTTGGTATGTACCAGTAAGTGTCTGTTGGTATGTACCAGTAAGTGACTGTTGGTATGTACCAGTAAGTGTGTGTTGGTATGTACCAGTAAGTGTCTGTTGGTATGTACCAGTAAGTGTCTGTTGGTATGTACCAGTAAGTGACTGTTGGTATGTACCAGTAAGTGTCTGTTGGTATGTACCAGTAAGTGACTGTTGGTATGTACCAGTAAGTGTCTGTTGGTATGTACCAGTAAGTGTAAGGTATGTACCAGTAAGTGTCTGTTGGTATGTACCAGTAAGTGTCTGTTGGTATGTACCAGTAAGTGTCTGTTGGTATGTACCAGTAAGTGTCTGTTGGTATGTACCAGTAAGTGTCTGTTGGTATGTACCAGTAAGTGTCTGTTGGTATGTACCAGTAAGTGTCTGTTGGTATGTACCAGTAAGTGTCTGTTGGTATGTACCAGTAAGTGTCTGTTGGTATGTACCAGTAAGTGTCTGTTGGTATGTACCAGTAAGTGTCTGTTGGTATGTACCAGTAAGTGACTGTTGGTATGTACCAGTAAGTGTCTGTTGGTATGTACCACTGTTGGTATGTACCAGTAAGTGTCTGTTGGTATGTACCAGTAAGTGTCTGTTGGTATGTACCAGTAAGTGTCTGTTGGTATGTACCAGTAAGTGTCTGTTGGTATGTACCAGTAAGTGTCTGTTGGTATGTACCAGTAAGTGTCTGTTGGTATGTACCAGTAAGTGTCTGTTGGTATGTACCAGTAAGTGTCTGTTGGTATGTACCAGTAAGTGTCTGTTGGTATGTACCAGTAAGTGTCTGTTGGTATGTACCAGTAAGTGTCTGTTGGTATGTACCAGTAAGTGTCTGTTGGTATGTACCAGTAAGTGTCTGTTGGTATGTACCAGTAAGTGACTGTTGGTATGTACCAGTAAGTGACTGTTGGTATGTACCAGTAAGTGTCTGTTGGTATGTACCAGTAAGTGTCTGTTGGTATGTACCAGTAAGTGTCTGTTGGTATGTACCAGTAAGTGACTGTTGGTATGTACCAGTAAGTGTCTGTTGGTATGTACCAGTAAGTGTCTGTTGGTATGTACCAGTAAGTGTCTGTTGGTATGTACCAGTAAGTGTCTGTTGGTATGTACCAGTAAATGTCTGTTGGTATGTACCAGTAAGTGTCTGTTGGTATGTACCAGTAAGTGTCTGTTGGTATGTACCAGTAAGTGTCTGTTGGTATGTACCAGTAAGTGTCTGTTGGTATGTACCAGTAAGTGTCTGTTGGTATGTACCAGTAAGTGTCTGTTGGTATGTACCAGTAAGTGTCTGTTGGTATGTACCAGTAAGTGTCTGTTGGTATGTACCAGTAAGTGTCTGTTGGTATGTACCAGTAAGTGTCTGTTGGTATGTACCAGTAAGTGTCTGTTGGTATGTACCAGTAAGTGTCTGTTGGTATGTACCAGTAAGTGTCTGTTGGTATGTACCAGTAAGTGTCTGTTGGTATGTACCAGTAAGTGTCTGTTGGTATGTACCAGTAAGTGTCTGTTGGTATGTACCAGTAAGTGTCTGTTGGTATGTACCAGTAAGTGTCTGTTGGTATGTACCAGTAAGTGTCTGTTGGTATGTACCAGTAAGTGTCTGTTGGTATGTACCAGTAAGTGTCTGTTGGTATGTACCAGTAAGTGTCTGTTGGTATGTACCAGTAAGTGTTTGGTATGTACCAGTAAGTGTCTGTTGGTATGTACCAGTAAGTGTCTGTTGGTATGTACCAGTAAGTGACTGTTGGTATGTACCAGTAAGTGTCTGTTGGTATGTACCAGTAAGTGTCTGTTGGTATGTACCAGTAAGTGTCTGTTGGTATGTACCAGTAAGTGTCTGTTGGTATGTACCAGTAAATGTCTGTTGGTATGTACCAGTAAGTGTCTGTTGGTATGTACTAGTAAGTGTCTGTTGGTATGTACCAGTAAATGTCTGTTGGTATGTACCAGTAAGTGTCTGTTGGTATGTACCAGTAAGTGTCTGTTGGTATGTACCAGTAAGTGTCTGTTGGTATGTACCAGTAAATGTCTGTTGGTATGTACCAGTAAGTGTCTGTTGGTATGTACCAGTAAGTGTCTGTTGGTATGTACCAGTAAGTGTCTGTTGGTATGTACCAGTAAGTGTCTGTTGGTATGTACCAGTAAGTGTCTGTTGGTATGTACCAGTAAGTGTCTGTTGGTATGTACCAGTAAGTGTCTGTTGGTATGTACCAGTAAGTGTCTGTTGGTATGTACCAGTAAGTGTCTGTTGGTATGTACCAGTAAGTGACTGTTGGTATGTACCAGTAAGTGTGTGTTGGTATGTACCAGTAAGTGTGTGTTGGTATGTACCAGAATGTTTCAGTGATCACTGCATTACCAAGTAAGTGATTAAGATCTTGGGAAATATTGTGCACATTTAATTACATGGTATCAATTTTTACACTAGTTTGTTGAGATAATTAGATAATGTGACATTTGGTGTGATGTTTCAGATTTCTGGGACACAGCAGGTCAGGAGAGATTTAACAACATGCATCCTTCTTACTACCACCAAGCACATGCCTGTATACTGGTAGGTATGATTAATTGTAAGCTAAGTATATCACTGACATGCTTCCCAGCATAGATATGTAAGGGTGTTTTAAAACCCCAGATTTATCATGATTAAAGCAATGCAAATTGTAGTTGGTAGAATGAAGATGGACAGGAATAAACCAGTTCTGAAATGTTCATATCAGTTCAGTGTTACATCAGCTGTCTTTTTAGTTGGCAGTAAACATTTAAGTGTGTTACATCAGCTGTCTTTTTAGTGGGCAGTAAACATTTAAGTGTGTTACATCAGCCATCGTTTTAGTGGGCAGTAAGCATTTAAGTGTGTTACATCAGCTGTCTTTAGTGGGCAGTAAGCATTTAAGTGTGTTACATCAGCTGTCATTTTAGTGGGCAGTAAGCATTTAAGTGTGTTACATCAGCTGTCTTTTTAGTGGGCAGTAAGCATTTAAGTGTGTTACATCAGCTGTCTTTTTAGTGGGCAGTAAACATTTAAGTGTGTTACATCAGTGTAAGCATTTAAGTGTGTTACATCAGCTGTCTTTTTAGTGGGCAGTAACATTTAAGTGTGTTACATCAGCTGTCTTTTTAGTGGGCAGTAAGCATTTAAGTGTGTTACATCAGCCGTCTTTTTAGTGGGCAGTAAACATTTAAGTGTGTTACATCAGCTGTCTTTTTAGTGGGCAGTAAGCATTTAAGTGTGTTACATCAGCTGTCATTTTAGTGGGCAGTAAGCATTTAAGTGTGTTACATCAGCCGTCGTTTTAGTGGGCAGTAAACATTTAAATGTGTTACATCAGCTGTCTTTTTAGTGGGCAGTAAACATTTAAGTGTGTTACATCAGCTGTCGTTTTAGTGGGCAGTAAGCATTTAAGTGTGTTACATCAGCTGTCTTTTTAGTGGGCAGTAAACATTTAAATGTGTTAGATCAGCTGTCTTTTTAGTGGGCAGTAAGCATTTAAGTGTGTTACATCAGCTGTCTTTTTAGTGGGCAGTAAACATTTAAGTGTGTTACATCAGCTGTCTTTTTAGTGGGCAGTAAACATTTAAGTGTGTTACATCAGCTGTCTTTTTAGTGGGCAGTAAGCATTTAAGTGTGTTACATCAGCTGTCTTTTTAGTGGGCAGTAAGCATTTAAGTGTGTTACATCAGCTGTCTTTTTAGTGGGCAGTAAGCATTTAAGTGTGTTACATCAGCTGTCTTTTTAGTGGGTAGTAAACATTTAAATGTGTTACATCAGCTGTCTTTTTAGTGGGCAGTAAGCATTTAAGTGTGTTACATCAGCTGTCTTTTTAGTGGGCAGTAAGCATTTAAGTGTGTTACATCAGCTGTCTTTTTAGTGGGCAGTAAACATTTAAATGTGTTACATCAGCCGTCGTTTTAGTGGGCAGTAAGCATTTAAGTGTGTTACATCAGCTGTCTTTTTAGTGGGCAGTAAACATTTAAGTGTGTTACATCAGCTGTCTTTTTAGTGGGCAGTAAGCATTTAAGTGTGTTACATCAGCTGTCTTTTTAGTGGGCAGTAAACATTTAAGTGTGTTACATCAGCTGTCTTTTTAGTGGGCAGTAAGCATTTAAGTGTGTTACATCAGCTGTCTTTTTAGTGGGCAGTAAACATTTAAGTGTGTTACATCAGCTGTCTTTTTAGTGGGCAGTAAGCATTTAAGTGTGTTACATCAGCCGTCTTTTTAGTGGGCAGTAAACATTTAAGTGTGTTACATCAGCCGTCTTTTTAGTGGGCAGTAAACATTTAAGTGTGTTACATCAGCTGTCTTTTTAGTGGGCAGTAAACATTTAAGTGTGTTACATCAGCCGTCTTTTTAGTGGGCAGTAAACATTTAAGTGTGTTACATCAGCTGTCTTTTTAGTGGGCAGTAAACATTTAAATGTGTTAGATCAGCTGTCTTTTTAGTGGGCAGTAAACATTTAAATGTGTTACATCAGCTGTCTTTTAAGTGGGCAGTAAACATTTAAATGTGTTACATCAGCTGTCTTTTTAGTGGGCAGTAAACATTTAAGTGTGTTACATCAGCTGTCTTTTTAGTGGGCAGTAAACATTTAAGTGTGTTACATCAGCTGTCTTTAGTGGGCCATGAGCATTTAAGTGTGTTACATCAGCTGTCTTTTTAGTGGGCAGTAAACATTTAAGTGTGTTACATCAGCTGTCTTTAGTGGGCCATGAGCATTTAAGTGTGTTACATCAGCTGTCTTTTTAGTGGGTAGTAAACATTTAAATGTGTTACATCAGCCGTCGTTTTAGTGGGCAGTAAACATTTAAGTGTGTTACATCAGCTGTCTTTAGTGGGCCATGAGCATTTAAGTGTGTTACATCAGCTGTCGTTTTAGTGGGCAGTAAGCATTTAAATGTGTTAGATCAGGTGTCTTTTTAGTGGATAGTAAACATTTAAATGTGTTAGATCAGCCGTCTTTTTAGTGGGCAGTAAACATTTAAATGTGTTACATCAGCTGTCTTTTTAGTGGGCAGTAAGCATTTAAGTGTGTTACATCAGCCGTCTTTTTAGTGGGCAGTAAGCATTTAAGTGTGTTACATCAGCTGTCTTTTTAGTGGGCAGTAAACATTTAAGTGTGTTACATCAGCTGTCTTTTTAGTGGGCAGTAAGCATTTAAGTGTGTTACATCAGCTGTCTTTTTAGTGGGCAGTAAGTGTTACATTTCTTTTTAAGTGTGTTACATCAGCTGTCTTTTTAGTGGGCAGTAAGCATTTAAGTGTGTTACATCAGCTGTCTTTTTAGTGGGCAGTGAGCATTTAAGTGTGTCTTTTTACATCAGCTGTCTTTTTAGTGGGCAGTAAGCATTTAAGTGTGTTACATCAGCTGTCTTTTTAGTGGGCAGTAAGCATTTAAGTGTGTTACATCAGCTGTCTTTTTAGTGGGCAGTAAGCATTTAAGTGTGTTACATCAGCTGTCTTTTTAGTGGGCAGTAAGCATTTAAATGTGTTACATCAGCTGTCTTTTTAGTGGGTAGTAAACATTTAAGTGTGTTACATCAGCTGTCTTTTTAGTGGGCAGTAAGCATTTAAGTGTGTTACATCAGCTGTCTTTTTAGTGCTGTCTTTAGTGGGCCATGAGCATTTAAGTGTGTTACATCAGCTGTCTTTTTACTGGGCAGTAAGCATTTAAGTGTGTTACATCAGCTGTCTTTTTACTGGGCAGTAAGCATTTAAGTGTGTTACATCAGCTGTCTTTTTACTGGGCAGTAAGCATTTAAGTGTGTTACATCAGCTGTCTTTTTACTGGGCAGTAAACATTTAAGTGTGTTACATCAGCTGTCTTTTTAGTGGGCAGTAAGCATTTAAGTGTGTTACATCAGCTGTCTTTAGTGGGCCATGAGCATTTAAGTGTGTTACATCAGCTGTCTTTAGTGGGCCATGAGCATTTAAGTGTGTTACATCAGCTGTCTTTTTACTGGGCAGTAAGCATTTAAGTGTGTTACATCAGCTGTCTTTTTACTGGGCAGTAAGCTTTTTCAAAGGCACTTTTGTTACCAAATCTATTTGGACATTCAGATTTAAATGGCTTTAACACTTTTAAGAACAGTGTATTGTGCAGGAGTTCACATGCACAGCTAACTGTATGTACAGTACATGTAATTGTGTAAAACGAATTAATTTTAAATATAAACAATCTAAAATTTTGTCATATTCCACTTTATATTAGGTTTTCAAAATTTGATGTTATTTCATCATCATATTATTTCAACTTCCGTTTCAGGTTTTTGACACAACAAGAAAAGTAACATATAAAAATTTACCAAATTGGTTGAAAGAATTAAGAGAGTATCGTCCTGAAATACCTTGTTTAGTAGCGGGTAACAAAATAGATGGTAAGTAATGCTGAAATATAGGAATTACCTCCCTTTGATGATCAAATGAAGTTTGATAGAGAAGAAAAATTTTGGAAACTATTCTTTCATACACATGCTTTCAGTTACTAAGATATTGAGAGGGACACTTGGTTATAAGCACCAACTCTCATTTATTCCTTCTTATAAGACCAAGAACTGCTCTTAGTTCTAATAAAAACTTACAACATTCTCTAATACAAGTATTTATATGTCATTATCAATTCAGAATCAATCAGTCATATGACATTTTACTATATAGAAATGAATATTTACAAAAATAGCCACAATATGACATTTTCAAGTAACTCTTAATATGGTATATCACTGAAGATTCAAACATTTCACAAATGATTGATTTCTTTTCTGTTTCAGTTGACATTAGTGTAACAAAGAAAAATTTTAATTTCGCAAAGAAATATAGAATGCCATTTTACTTTGTATCTGCCTCGGATGGCACCAATGTTGTACGGGTAAGTGTTTTTTCTATGATATTCTGGCAGCTTTACCTTTTTTTCAGTATAGGATGTTTCAGTATGGAATGTTTTCAGTATAGGATGTTTCAGTATGGAATGTTTTCAGTATAGGATGTTTCAGTATGGAATGTTTTCAGTATAGTACATTTTCAGTATGGAATGTTTTCAGTATAGGATGTTTCAGTATGGAATGTTTTCAGTATAGGATGTTTCAGTATGGAATATTTTCAGTATAGGATGTTTCAGTATGGAATGTTTTCAGTATAGTACATTTTCAGTATGGAATGTTTTCAGTATAGGATGTTTCAGTATGGAATGTTTTCAGTATAGGATGTTTCAGTATGGAATGTTTTCAGTATAGTACATTTTCAGTATGGAATGTTTTCAGTATAGGATGTTTCAGTATGGAATGTTTTCAGTATAGGATGTTTCAGTATGGAATGTTTTCAGTATAGGATGTTTCAGTATGGAATGTTTTCAGTATAGTACATTTTCAGTATGGAATGTTTTCAGTATAGGATGTTTCAGTATGGAATGTTTTCAGTATAGGATGTTTCAGTATGGAATGTTTTCAGTATAGGATGTTTCATTATGGAATGTTTTCAGTATAGTACATTTTCAGTATGGAATGTTTTCAGTATAGGATGTTTCAGTATGGAATGTTTTCAGTATAGGATGTTTCAGTATAGTACATTTTCAGTATGGGATGTTTTCAGTATGGGATGTTTTCAGTATAGTATATTTTCAGTTTGTAATAGATAATGCTATAATGTTATAGATGTTTGTAATAGATAATGTTATAGATGTTTTGTAATAGATAATGTGATAGATGTTTGTAATAGATAATGTGATAGATGTTTGTAATAGATAATGTTATAGATGTTTTGTAATAGATAATGTGATAGATGTTTGTAATAGATAGTGTGATAGATGTTTGTAATAGATAATGTTATAGATGTTTTGTAATAGATAATGTTATAGATGTTTGTAATAGATATTGTTATAGATGTTTTGTAATAGATAATGTTATAGATGTTTGTAATAGATAGTGTGATAGATGTTTGTAATAGATGTTAGATGTTTGTAATAGATAATGTTATAGATGTTTGTAATAGATATTGTTATAGATGTTTGTAATAGATGTTTGTAATAGATAGTGTGATAGATGTTTGTAATAGATAGATAGTGTTTTGTAATAGATAATGTTATAGATGTTTGTAATAGATATTGTTATAGATGTTTTGTAATAGATAATGTTATAGATGTTTGTAATAGATAGTGTGATAGATGTTTGTAATAGATAATGTGATAGATGTTTGTAATAGATAGTGTGATAGATGTTTGTAATAGATAATGTGATAGATATTGTTATAGATGTTTGTAATAGATAGTGTGATAGATGTTTGTAATAGATAGTGTGATAGATGTTTGTAATAGATAATGTGATAGATGTTTGTCACAGATATTATAATTTATTATAATGTTATAGATGTTTGTCACAGATATGATATTGTAATGTATTATGATCATACAGATGTTTAAGGATGCGATACGAGCAGCTGTAGACTACAAGTCCAATTCCACTGACTTTATGGATGAGATCATGAAGGAACTTGAGGTATGAATTTTATCTGTTTTGCTGACATAAATTGATGTAATTAAGTAGACAATAAGAATTCAAGTATCACCTGGTTTGTGTCAACAGTGAACTCTGTATAATACAGACACACTTATTTTCTGTCAAATCATTTGTGTAACTGGAATTTTCATCTATTATTACATACTGATAGACAATGGATGATCCAGACATCCTCATTCTCAGCCAGAATTGTACATATTAAAGTCTCCTGCACTATCAAGTTCAGGTTACTGACCAATGTAAGCAGTGTTATTTCATTCAGTTGTGTGTGATGCTGCTGAAGGTTTTGAGAAATCTGTAGTATTTACTGTAATTACAGATAAATTTCTTTGTCTCGTCTAAGTATATTTTTGTAAATAAATGTACATCTGTATGAGAATTTTCAGAATAAAAAATTATTGTTATGAATTAAAATCAAATATCACAACAGTGCACTCAATTTCATATCAATAGTGAGTTTTACCCATAAATATTAGATTAAAAGGTTGTGCGGGCTCTTTGTCCTTCACCTCTTCTTACTGGAACTTCATACTTCTGGTATGATCTTGATGTAAGGCAATGTGTCATGTGATCAACCTGACCTACATTTTGACCTACATCAAAGGAAAAATTTGCACACAATTACATATTCTGTGAGAGAATGTAATTTACCAAATGTTTATTTTGGCTGGTATGGAAGTACGGTTAATTGGTGAACACTGTAGTAGGTTTTTGGAAGAACAATATGCACCCTTTACACATGTATATATAGTAAACTCCACAGTTAACAGAATTGTCTAGTACGAAACATCTGGTGTATGATTATAATATAATAATGGTGGAAAATAAATTCCTGGCAAACCCCCTTTGTCTTCGTATTTTTGTCCCTGAAATAACAAGATTGCCTATAACAGGATATCATGTTTTACAAAGTGATTTTCAAGTCTTTGGGCTTGTTATCCAGTCAGTTTTACCCAGGTAGAATGAGATGTTTTTCGAGGAAGATAACCACATAGAGTTACTTGAAACAATGCTGTGACAAGTGTTAAATCCACATACATACATGTTAATACTCATAGCTATATGTTATTGTAAATGTGCAGCCATGTGTGAAATTCTAGTGTACGAGAGAGTGTGTAAATAACACCAAAACTGAATATTAATCATTGCCTCCATGAGATAGGAAGGCTCTTGCAATTGTGACCAAGTTTAAATTAATTAATGGAAGTTGAAAAGGGATTAAGATTGAAATCCACTTTAATGGTTATATCATCTGTAACAAGAACAAAAACAATAGAAATTTGATGGTCCACTCAATCTTATTGGAGATCATTGTATACACTTCTCAACTGATTATATTGTTATCAGTGACCATGCAGAATTCTAAAGATGATTCAACCGAAGATAGTCAGTGGTTAATGTTGCTCAATACTTCTATCGAGATATATTTTGATGGTTGTAGACAAAAATTTCCATTCAAAAGGTGTCACTTAAATTAGGATAAACACAGTGTCTCTTTTTGTTTTACATTTGTAACATACAGTAATGAAATGATTTGTTGTCATCTATCAGAGAATCACAAAATTAAAGGTGTCACAAAAATGATATTAGATTAGGAGGCAAAATCTTGTAACTTCACCATCGCACAAAAATTCCTTTTATCAAGAATTTAAAATGGAAAACTCATTTTTGTTTAGATGAATATATTTTTTGTATATTGTTTTAGAATTTTGAATTGGAGGAAGAGCAGAAGGACAGTGAACCAGATTCTGGGGGTAATTCTGAAGATAAAGGAATACAGCAGACAGAGAGCTGAGGTCAAGGTGAAGGTCATTGACCTTCTCATCTTATAGTTAAAGTTTTCATCTATTTATTGACATTTCTTAAAGACATGTGAACATGATGAAGTTATATGGAAGAGTAGACAACTCTTGTGTTGCCTAGGTCTTGCCTGTTCTCTGCCATGCCTATCGACACTCACCAAAAGATGGCAGAGGTTGGCATTACTTTAATGACTGCATGGTTTTGTGGAGCAATAGAGATGGACCACATATGATTACTTCTCATGTCAATGATAGATAAGGGGAGATAACTATTGTTTGTAGGCTCGTAATACATGGCTTTATTCTCACATTTGAGAAGTGTTAAAAAGTGTGAGTACTGGAGTTCCTGCCCTGGTAAGGGGTGATCTTAGTGTGTAATGGTTGTGAAGCTTTTTATTATCACAGCAACTTCTTAAGTTCTAAAACTTGTCGCGGTCAGATTTTATAAGATTGTGAAGCAATAAAGAGTAGCATTATAAATGTGTAGGTAGAATTCCATAAATATTAGTGATGTAAAGGATGGCGAGAATGAAGACAAAATAGCTGCCATTATGTAGTTTTGAATCTTATTGTAGCCGGCTCAATCATTCAGAGAGGTTTACATATAAGGTATTTGTCATATACTCAAAGACATATCTCCCTCTCATGACGTGGCTGAGTGCCTCTCCTGGCCATCATTCTGTAACAATAGGATTTCTGCTGATGTACACTGTGACAGGAGTTAAGGCTGTTAAACATAGAAAACTTCAGGAAATTCAGTTTTTCACTGAGCTGGATGGAAGTATTGAGCTGAAATTTTAAAGGAACTCTCAATTACTTTACACTCATTATCTTTGTACTAGATGGGGATACTGACCTGAAATCTGTAGTTGTATTATTTGCACCGTGTCAGCTTAGTCAACCAACATCTGCTGAAAGGTTAGAAAGCAACACTCAAAAAGCCAGTTAAGCTAAAAACAAACTTCTCATTGGTTGCTGACCTCAGCATTCATATCACACCAGCACATTCATTTTGTTCTTAATATTTTTGCAATGAATTGTCCTGATTTAGTGAAAAGTGCTAAAAATTTGATGGTGGCTGTTATTATAAAAAAAACAAAACAATAGAAAACATGAGTATGCAATAATTCTGTTTTATATGTGAGAGTTTTGTATCTTTAGTGTCGGGTTGATTTAATCAAAATTCCTAGAATACCAAAGCTGATGCACCATATCATTTCAGTAAATAAATAGTTATAAGTATGCTGATATTACCAAATGTGTTTGTTTTATAGTAGAGTTTCTAGATGGTGTCTAAGCAGTAACAAGTGTAGACCACACAATTGTATGTATAAATGTACCTATTAGGCTTAGAATGTTGTGTGATATCATGTGATCCGCAGAGCCAAGATTGTAAATGGGAATGAAAGGAACCAGGTGATTGGTAGAGCCAGAATTCTGTGTGGCATGAAAGGAACCAGGTGATTGGTAGAGCCAGAATTCTGTGTGGCATGAAAGGAACCAGGTGATTGGTAGAGCCAGAATTCTGTGTGGCATGAAAGGAACCAGGTGATTGGTAGAGCCAGAATTCTGTGTGGCATGAAAGGAACCAGGTGATTGGTAGAGCCAGAATTCTGTGTGGCATGAAAGGAACCAGGTGACTAGCAGAGTTATAATTCTGATTATAATTAAGAGACGTGACAATTAGAAAAGGTTATTTCAGATATATTGTGATTAAAGCAGAAGTACTTGATAAGTCGTGTGTAAGGTATACGTTGATAGAAATTAAAATTTCATTAATTCCTGTTCATTATTAAGATATGGTCATTTCATTATGTGTAATATAAGTTAAAATTCAGTGTCTGATACGTACACAAAAGAATAATGAAATTAAAACACTGATCAGTAAAGCATTATAGACTATTATAAACATACATAATTATCTCCCTTTCCTATGATGTCATAATGGACAATCAAGCTGTTACTGATGACATCTTATTGTTATACCATGTAGACCTACTGATGTAGCAAAACAAATATAAAGTAAAATGTCCAAGATTAAATGTGAAAGTACTTATGCTTTACTAATCACAAGTGTTTCTAATTTTATCATTTATAAGATCTGATTAGACAGTTTACACCTCTGTCTGTGATTTCCAAAACCTCTCTCCGTGTGGTCAGTATATCTGTATCCATGTGGTCAATCTGTCAGTTTCCATGTGGTCAGTATATCAGTATCCATGTGGTCAGTCTGTCAGTTTCCATGTGGTCAGTCTGTCAGTTTCCATGTGGTCAGTCTACCAGTATCCATGTGGTCAGTCTGTCAGTTTCCATGTGGTCAGTCTACCAGTATCCATGTGGTCAGTCTACCAGTATCCATGTGGTCAGTCTGTCAGTTTCCATGTGGTCAGTCTACCAGTATCCATGTGGTCAGTCTATCAGTTTCCATGTGGTCAGTATATCAGTATCCATGTGGAATTTTCTACCCACTCTACAGTTTGATGTGAGGTTTATGTTTGTCTTGTCCTGTGTTACAGTGCTGATATTTACAAGACACTATGGAACTGATGTTTCTTAGTTGTTTTCCTACCTCAGCACTGGAAGAGAGGTTAGTTAGTTGTAAATCTGACAAAGGTGGTTGCCAGCTTTTTACACTGTCATGTCAGTTTTGTAGACATTTGTACACATGTGAACCTTGAATGCTTGAAGACTACAGCTTTTCTCAATGAATGTTGACTAGATGTGCTCAATTCAAACAAACTTCAGTGAGTGGCACCATTATCCTCAGTGAAGGTGTGTTAGTGTATACTTATATGAACACATATCTGTGATACCTGTTCTGATTGAAACTTTGAACTTTGGTAAACTTGTGAACAAATATTGATGCTTAGGTTAATTTTGTACACACATATCTTTATTGAAATTGAAATACAAATTAAACATTGGACTTTGCAGTACTTTGATGGAGCACTCTGATATCTGTCAATTGTCCATTTTTTTTTTACAAAAGTGAAGTGGAAGGTTGTTTTAGACCATTAAAATTTATATGTGTAGACAATGTGGTTGTTTGTTTTCGTTCCTTCATATTTCAAACAAGAAATCACAAATCTAACGTCCACTCTTGGTTGGTAAGGTCTACTACATGTATAGTTGTGTTAAACATTCAGTAGGTAGTGTATGGTAGTAACCTTCACTGTCACAAGTATATCATTCACTTAGTTACAGACACAGGTGGGTTATTGAAGAACAATGATGGACATACATGTAGTTACAGACACAGGTGGGTTATTGAAGAACAACGATAGACATACATGTAGTTACAGACACAGGTGGGTTATTGAAGAACAACGATATACATACATGTAGTTACAGACACAGGTGGGTTATTGAAGAACAACGATAGACATACAGGTAGTTACAGACACAGGTGGGTTATTTAAGAACAATGATGGACATACATGTAGTTACAGACACAGGTGGGTTGTTTAAGAACAATGATGGACATACATGTAGTTACAGACACAGGTGGGTTATTTAAGAACAATGATGGACATACATGTAGTTACAGACACAGGTGGGTTATTTAAGAACAATGATGGACATACATGTAATTACAGACACAGGTGGGTTATTTAAGAACAATGATGGACATTCATGTAGTTACAGACACAGGTGGGTTATTGAAGAACAATGATGGACATACAGGTAGTTACAGACACAGGTGGGTTATTTAAGAACAATGATAGACATTCATGTAGTTACAGACACAGGTGGGTTATTTAAGAACAATGATAGACATTCATGTAGTTACAGACACAGGTTGGTTATTTAAGAACAATGATATACATTCATGTAGTTACAGACAGGTGGGTTATTGAAGAACAATGATGGACATACATTTAGTTACAGACACAGGTGGGTTATTGAAGAAGGATGATGGACATACATGTAGTTACAGACACAGGTGGGTTATTTAAGAACAATGATAGACATTCATGTAGTTACAGACACAGGTGGGTTATTGAAGAACGATGATGGACATACATGTAGTTACAGACACAGGTGGGTTATTGAAGAACAATGATGGACATACAGGTAGTTACAGACACAGGTGGGTTATTTAAGAACAATGATAGACATTCATGTAGTTACAGACACAGGTGGGTTATTTAAGAACAATGATAGACATTCATGTAGTTACAGACACAGGTTGGTTATTTAAGAACAATGATATACATTCATGTAGTTACAGACAGGTGGGTTATTGAAGAACAATGATGGACATACATTTAGTTACAGACACAGGTGGGTTATTGAAGAAGGATGATGGACATACATGTAGTTACAGACACAGGTGGGTTATTTAAGAACAATGATAGACATTCATGTAGTTACAGACACAGGTGGGTTATTGAAGAACGATGATGGACATACATGTAGTTACAGACACAGGTGGGTTATTGAAGAACGATGATGGACATACATGTAGTTACAGACACAGGTGGGTTATTGAAGAACGATGATGGACATACATGTAGTTACAGACACAGGTGGGTTATTGAAGAACAATGATAGACATACATGTAGTTACAGACAGGTGGGTTATTGAAGAACAATGATAGACATACATGTAGTTACAGACAGGTGGGTTATTGAAGAACGATGATGGACATACATGTAGTTACAGACAGGTGGGTTATTGAAGAAGGATGATAGACATACATGTAGTTACAGACAGGTGGGTTATTGAAGAACGATGATGGACATACATGTAGTTACAGACAGGTGGGTTATTGAAGAAGGATGATAGACATACATGTAGTTACAGACACAGGTGGGTTATTGAAGAACGATGATAGACATACATGTAGTTACAGACACAGGTGGGTTATTGAAGAACGATGATAGACATACATGTAGTTACAGACAGGTGGGTTATTGAAGAATGATGATGGACATACATGTAGTTACAGACACAGGTGGGTTATTGAAGAACGATGATGGACATACATGTAGTTACAGACACAGGTGGGTTATTGAAGAAGGATGATGGACATACATGTAGTTACAGACACAGGTGGGTTATTGAAGAACGATGATGGACATACATGTAGTTACAGACACAAGACATAAAACCTAATGAGTACAATATTTGTCAATATAATCACAAGTCATTTTTGCACTGTTCAAATTTTATTTCATCATATTATTGTGATCCATGAGGAATCATTGGATGATACGAAAATAACTTTTCTTGCAAAATAGCCAGAATCTGTTAAATACATGTGATATATTTAATATTCAAATTATTCATCATACTTGAAAATTAATAAATTATTTTCAGTGTATACCTTCGTCAATGATATTGTGTATATATCCTTTACTATGAAGTACACCAGTATAAACAATTTATAAAATAACTATGGCATCAAGCAGCGTTCAAACACCCTTACTTTACACTTTCTCATCACACCCGTAACTAATCTAGTCCGTAAGTACATCAAACAATATATATTACATAAAGATTCTTTGATTTCAATGAAATAAGCAAACAATGTAAACTGAATACCACAGCACAGAAGAAGATTTGGCCTTTTGCTGTGTAGCATGGAGAAAACAGAAATCAGTTTTTCCACCATTCCGTAAGACAACAAACAGATCATTTGATCTGTGATACAGGAGAGGAGGAAGGAAATGTTTAAGGAGATGACAAAACTAATACCCCTTGGAATGTATAAAATATGATGTAAATATGATATAAGTAACCAGTCTTGCATATTATAAATGTACATTGTAACGATGCTTTATAAGAATTGAAAAAGGTCATCATCTACACTGTAAATACCAGGCTTGATACATTCTTTAACATCCTCCATCTGGAGTGTACAACTTAATGATATTGCACAACAACCGAGGGAGTTTGGTATGGCTTTATAATATTGAACAGAACATTGTTAATCCTCCACAGTGGTTCTCTCTCCAGTATCTGTAACAATGACAGGCAAAATACTTACAGAGGAGCACAGGCTAGATTTCATTTTATTTCACTAATAAAGGAGGAATATTATAGTGACAGTGATACTGAGTTAATACATCATAATCACAGATCCAGTAGGATCCCAACGTGTGAGGAATGTGTAAGACAGTTCTGTATTTAAAGTCAATGACACAAAGATTTAGGCAGGCAATCCTCCTGATGCATAAAGAATCGGGCAGAAAATCCTACTGATGCATAAAGAATCGGGCAGAAAATCCTACTGATGCATAAAGAATCGGGCAGAAAATCCTACTGATGCACAAAGAATCGGACAGAAAATCCTACTGATGCACAAAGAATTGGACAGAAAATCCTACTGACGCACAAAGAATCGGACAGAAAATCCTACTGTTGCACAAAGAATTGGACAGAAAATCCTACTGATGCACAAAGAATCGGACAGAAAATCCTACTGATGCACAAAGAATTGGACAGAAAATCCTACTGATGCATAAAGAATCGGACAGAAAATCCTACTGATGCATAAAGAATTGGACAGAAAATCCTACTGATGCACAAAGAATCGGACAGAAAATCCTACTGATGCACAAAGAATCGGACAGAAAATCCTACTGATGCACAAAGAATTGGACAGAAAATCCTACTGATGCACAAAGAATCGGACAGAAAATCCTATTGATGCATAAAGATGAAACTGAATTGAAAAACTCATTTATTGTATACAGCTACATGTACAAATGTTTCTGATAAATTAGCTATATCAGATTTTGGCTTATATGTTACAACACCTGAGAATTTATACCCACAAACCTGATAAAGTGACAAGAGAAACATTCACATAAACACTTTTTTTATCATTTAAATTTCAATCAAGTTATTTGATCTACCAGTAATATAACTAAATTTCCACAAATTAAGTAAATGTAGTGTAAAATGAAAACCTACAAGTGATGCCAGCCCTGTAAATAAAAACAAAGTGACATTTGTTCACATATTTCCCGTCAAACTGAATCCAAGTATCAGTATTAATATAAACTATTGCACAAGTCACATGGCACACAATTTCCTATCCTGCCCAGTCGATACTGCAGCGTTTATTTGTTTCTTGTCCCGACCGATCCACACTACAGTGTTAATAACGACTATTAACGTCATACTTATTAACCTTCCAGTTACTTGTCATTAATTAACCCAGCTATCTAGCCTTCCCGTTACTTGTCATTAACTCAGCTATCTAGCCTTCCCGTTACTTGTCATTAACCCAGCTATCTAGCCTTCCCGTTACTTGTCATTAATTAACTCAGCTATCTAGCCTTCCAGTTACTTGTCATTAACTCAGCTATCTAGCCTTCCAGTTACTTGTCATTAACCCAGCTATCTAGCCTTCCAGTTACTTGTCATTAATTAACCCAGCTATCTAGCCTTCCAGTTACTTGTCATTAATTAACCCAGCTATCTAGCCTTCCAGTTACTTGTCATTAATTAACCCAGCTATCTAGCCTTCCAGTTACTTGTCATTAATTAACCCAGCTATCTAGCCTTCCAGTTACTTGTCATTAACTCAGCTATCTAGCCTTCCAGTTACTTGTCATTAACTCAGCTATCTAGCCTTCCCGTTACTTGTCATTAACCCAGCTATCTAGCCTTCCAGTTACTTGTCATTAACCCAGCTATCTAGCCTTCCAGTTACTTGTCATTAACCCAGCTATCTAGCCTTCCAGTTACTTGTCATTAACCCAGCTATCTAGCCTTCCAGTTACTTGTCATTAACCCAGCTATCTAGCCTTCCAGTTACTTGTCATTAACTCAGCTATCTAGCCTTCCCGTTACTTGTCGTTAATTAACCCAGCTATCTAGCCTTCCAGTTACTTGTCATTAATTAACCCAGCTATCTAGCCTTCCAGTTACTTGTCATTAATTAACCCAGCTATCTAGCCTTCCAGTTACTTGTCATTAACTCAGCTATCTAGCCTTCCCGTTACTTGTCATTAATTAACCCAGCTACCTAGCATAACCTCATACTCCACTCCACAACAGGTAAACTTTGATCAAATGGCTGCTTTTATGGGTAACCATGAACCTGCTAACAGTTTCTATGGCCAACTATAGCCCTAATATTTAGATTCAGTGGGTAACCATGAACCTGCTAACAGTTTCTATGGCCAACTATAGCCCTAATATTTAGATTCAGAGGGTAACCATGAACCAATAATAAGTCTGCCAGTCTGGGTAACCTTACACCCTCTATATGGGTAAGGATAAACCTAAAGACATTTCTATAGGAAAACAAGTACCTGTAATCTGAGTCTGTTAAAATAAGGAAACCATGGACATCATAATCATTTTCTTCTGGTAAACATGAATCAGTTTGGAGCTGATGAAGAAATGTCTCCTAATCTGGAGGAACTTTCATATTAAAATGAGAAAACTGAGTGACAGATCAATGGATTAGACTCTTCTTTGTATTATAGGGAAGAGACAGAACTTTTACTTTGAGACAATTAGGTTTTTGAAGGAGGTTGTATATTAAACAACAAGGAAATTTTCTTTTTCCATTAATTATTCTTATACAAATAAAATGAGTATAAAGTAGTTAATTTCTGTTTAATGCATCACTATAATTGATTACATATGTCTGATATAGAACTCAATTTCTATATATTTAGGTCATGTGACCTTAACGGATAAATGTCACTGTATACTGATGAAATATTAAGTAGGTCATTTTGACCTTTATGAAATGTGAATTACACAAAACATAAACATTACATGGTACATGTTAACACACACTGGTGATGTGAACTACGTTTACACTAAATGGCAGGTAAAAATAAACAAGGATTTAAATGTTGCTTTCTCTACAGATCGATCTTCATTACAAGTAAAAAATGTTTTTAATTTTCAATTCATGGGTGTATGTTATATTCAACTGAATAGAAATTCATATCTTATGATTTTATACAAGATGATGTCCCAGCTTACTACCTAAGTACTGTCTAACTCTGATTTGCAGGATCATGTTTGGATAGCCAAATATTTTCTCTTATAAACTGAATATTGGGTATGATTAAATGATATCACTCTACCTTGCTATCCTCTGATATATCAAATGAAAGGAGAAAACAAATCGCTGTAGTTATATGTATACTGTATGTACAAACACAACCATCACTGAGTACTAAGGGAATAACTGACCCAATATTATAGGTACCTGTATAGTGCAGAATCTGTATAAATATACCTATATCTACTGTATCAATGTTGTAATATCACATTTGTTCTTTTAAGACTCAACACTGCAATGTCAAGTCTGGCAAGGGAAACAACTCTGTAGATCTCTAAGCATAAGAAAAAAAGAGCCAATAAAATGAACACACATATAGCACGATTGCATGACTTTTCCAGTTTGGAAGACAAATGTACACTTCCCACATCATCACTACAACAATTTTAACAACAATCCCCCGGATATCAATCCACACCACAGATAATCCATGCAGTCTGTTGAATAATAATGCTGCTACAAGAAATCTCACCAATAAGAAAGCTATGTGTCCTTACACCATTGTTTGACAACATGGGGAGTGCACATCTCCCGTCACTGTGACCCACAAGACTTCACACAGATACATTGTTGGGTAAATGTTACTGGCCACCATCATCAAGTCACTAACTTCACTGAACTCTGAGTATATACCCGATTCTCCTGGAATGTATCCCATTATCTATATAGAATAGTTCACCTTTCACAATGTATATTCATCACAACACAGGTTCTACTTCACTTCTATATAAATGTGTGTGACCATTACGACACTCTGGTACATTCCTATGAATGATAAAATCTTATGTTCCTGTATACAAACTCTGTGTTCTGTTCACTGATTAATGCTGATCACGAGATCAATACCACCACAGCTTTAATCCATTAGAGTTTGCAATAACGTATACACTGTACCTGCAGTGTAAAACTAGACTGGTGACCTCAAGACAAACTACTGCTACGCATCGCAGCTTTCTTTATGGAGCGTTCAAGGTTCATGCGGTGCCCTACCTGTGTGACACCCAACTCTATATAATCATTGCGTGTGAGCCCTGCCAGTTTTTTCCCATCAATACAGTGTTCCTGGAAACTAGGTTTGTATGATGCCATGTTTAGACTATCTAACCAATCAAGAACATCGAGACATTGCCATGTGTCAACAGCCTTAGAGGAAAATGGCTTGTTTGTTCTCACTGGCTTTACTATTACATTATTGTTTTTGTTACTCTCAAAGTCTGGAGGTGGAGGGATCACAGCGGGCATTTCATCATACCCCTGGTCTGTGTTATCATCAAAGCCTGGGGGAGGTGGAGGGATGAGGTCCTCGTAGGAATTTTTCTTAGATAAACTGTAGCCGGAGTCAGCATGTTCATCTGACAGTGTAGACAGAGTAGAGACAGACGATACCACACTGTCTGTGTCCTCATGTTTGTAACCTGAAGGAGGTGGAATGATATCCACATGTATCATGTCCCCAAACTCAGGAGGTGGTGGTAGAGCACTAGACTTGCCTGTATCTGTGGGCGAACTGTCTGTTGTCACCCCCTGAACTTTGTAGTGTGGAGATTTGGGGGAAGTTGCATGCACTTTTCCGTTTGTTACTTCAACTTTTTTATTTTTCTCAAAGCTTGCAATCCTGTCACGTATAGAGGTGGTGCGAGATATCAGGTCGGTGTCCCTGGATGCTTTTAGAGGGGTAGGGGCCAAGCTTTTACCTGCAACCCCATTGACTTTAGGTTTGTGTTTGGTGTTGAAGAGCTGGGTACTAGTGGTGAGAGGTGTAGGTGATGTGGGTTTGCCTGAGTACTGGATGGAGTTTGCCTCCTTCACAACTGGTTTAGGTGGTTCAGACTTGGCTCGTGCTGTAGTTGCAGTGATAGTAGTGTGAGTTGGACTTCCTGTGGAGAGTGATGAGCTACTTGCTTTTTTCTGTAGCCAGTCTTGTCGGGCTTTCTCTGCCATTGCTAGGAAATCTGTAGTAGTTTTCTTTTCATTCTTGTCAGATTCTACTGACTTCTGCTTGGTCACAACCTTTTTATTCTCAGTGGATTTACCCACAGCGTTACTATCAAACAATGGTATCATTGGAGCAGAGGCTGTAGTTTTCTTGTTGACAATTTCTGTCTTAGTTTCCACTTTCATCTCAACTTTGGGTGTAATCTTTGTCTCAACCTTTGGTGTGACCTTTGTCTCGACCTTTGGTATGACCTTTGTCTCAGCCTTGGGTGAGACATTTGTAGACACCTTTGACGGTCCCACTGTGCTTTGTTTGGCTTTAGAGATGACAATTGGGGTTGTTTTCGATTTCTGTGTTTCTTGTGTCTTTGCTTCTGTTTTTTTGCCTATACTTTCACTTGAAAAGGAAAGTTTGGCCGACTGAAGTTTCTTGGTTTTGTGTAACTTGGACTCAATCTGGTCAAGAATATCTGTATCTGACTTCTGCTCCAGGTGTTGTCGTCGTCTTGCTACAGCTGCTATAATGGCTGCCTGATTATCATTCGGATCTGGTTTTCTCTGAGTAACAGGTGTTACTTTAGGTCCTTCATTCTCCATCCTGTTACGTCGTTTCTCTACTGCAGCCAAGATGTCCCCAGTCGGCAGTAGTGAAGTTGTAGGACCATCACCTGTCTGTCGCATGCCTACCTTGGGAGAGGATGACTGTTCCTGGGCTGGAGGAGGAGGAGGAGGAGGAGGTGGGGGTGCCGGTGGGGCAGGAGGGGGAGGAGCAAACACTGGCAACTCCTCCACTTCCTCCTTTACAATTTCCTCTACCTGTTTCTCTTTTGGAGTTTCTTGTCTAACTGGTGATGGTTGACGTGCAGGTGAGGCTTGTCTGGCTGTAGGTGCACTTGGCGATGCTTGGCGGGCAGGGGAGGCTTGCCTAGATGATGAAGGTGTGGCATTTGCCTTTGGTGATGGAGGTGAGGATGCCTTCGGTGAATGAGGAGGCTGTGTCTTTGTTGGGGGCTTAGGGGCAGGCTCCCTAGGAGGGGGAGGGATCTGCACATCTTTTTGTTTCTTTGAGACTGGGGAGGATGGGATATCTGAACGTTTGATCGTTAACTGTTTTGCTGATTCTGACTTTGACTTCCTGTCTCCGACTGATATGACAGTTACAGAGTTACGGGCCTTGTCATTCTCCTCATCGCTCTCCACATCATAGTCTGGCTCTGGCTCAGACACCTTTTTCTTTCGCATGTGGACATCTGCTGTGACAAGAAGCTGAGCATTGGGATGTTTCTGTAAAAACTTCTGTGCATTGTCATTCACCCTGTCTTCAGCAAATGATACAGAGTGTTTCTCTGAGGCATCATCATGACTACTATCAGACCGTTTGGAGGCACTACTAACATTCCTCTGATGTGATGTTGTAACATCCACTGTAGATTTGATTTTGATTTTGGGCTCATCTGTCACTTTGACCTGATTGGTTGGTTTGAAACTGGATTGATCTGATTGGTCAACAACTTGACTAGATTTTATTTCAGTTGTTGTGGCATACACTTTTTTATTTGTACTGATTGTCACTAGTTCTGTCTTTGCTGGTCGCACAGGTTCAACATTTTTGGGTGGCGCTGGTGCCTGTCGTTTTGGTACGTTGTTGCTACCTGGGGGAGGTGGAGGTGGTGCTTTAGGTCGCTCACTTGTGGCTGTTTTTAGGTTGCCTGTAGATCCGCCATAAGAAGAAGCACTCTTTAATGACACACTGTCAGCACCATCATAGTCATATTTGTCTACTACATCCCCAGAACCACTTGCAGTGCGTTTGTGTTTGGAAGCCACACTTGGCACTGCTACTGGAGTGGCATACACTGGCTCATTCCGTTTTCCTTCCAGAAGGTCAGATGTACTTCGTGACCTTTCCATACTGATAATGGACCCACCTGAAGTTTTCTTTTGGTGATATTTTTTAATCCTCATTTCCGATGGACTCATGTATTTTTCAGATGAATGTGCACCTCCATTTTCCAAGCCTCCAAGCTCCACACACGAGACGCGTTTGGCAGAGTGACTGGATCGTATTGATGCCGTCTTCTGCTCCTGTGACATCACTTCCTGTTTGTCATTTTCAGCCAACACCTTGTCTAGTTGATCTGTGAAGGATAAAAACCTCTTGTTAAAACATGTCGGATTCAAAGAACAAAACAAATAAAATAACTGAACTGAACAGAAGCTATTGAATAGCAATTTTGTGAAGAGTTAACTCCCTTTGAAAACTATGAAAGCTTTGTCACCAATTTTACGTTTGTTGTCTCTCTTTTTTTTCATATTGCTACATTTCTACCAAATTCATAAAGAATTCTAATGGTACCAAACATGTGATGTGCTAAGTATAATGTTATATATAATATAATGTTAAGAAAAATGCATTAAAAAGCCAAAAATAATATTGAGTGGAAACATGTAAGCTCTGTACATCATTTATAGCCAGTGATGGTATCTTAATTTGTAAAGCAGCTAGAATCGCAAAGACTGTTTGTTCAGTTGTAGCTGAAAACGGTGTAGATCGTGATATCACTTTTTACATTTTTGTTAGTAATCTACTTCACTAGTACATGGTACAATATGATGCATGTGGTTATTCAAGAGAAAATACCTGAAACATTATAAACAAGAAAATAAACTAGATAAAAATTATAAAGCATTGATCCACAATGATAACTGTGTAATATTGGCCAGATTCCTGTGGATATAAGTGGTTATAATGCTGATGGTGTCTGAGGAAGGATGGCCCTGTAAACATTGTCAGTAGGGCTGATGGTGTCTGAGGGAGGATGGCCCTGTAAACAGTCAGTGGGGCTGATGGTGTCTGAGGAAGGATGGCCCTGTAAACATTGTCAGTGGGACTGATGGTGTCTGAGGAAGGATGGCCCTGTAAACATTGTCAGTGGGACTGATGGTGTCTGAGGAAGGATGGCCCTGTAAACATTGTCAGTGGGACTGATGGTGTCTGAGGAAGGATAGCCCTGTAAACATTGTCAGTGGGACTGATGGTGTCTGAGGAAGGATGGCCCTGTAAACATTGTCAGTGGGGCTGATGGTGTCTGAGGAAGGATGGCCCTGTAAACATTGTCAGTAGGGCTGATGGTGTCTGAGGAAGGATGGCCCTGTAAACATTGTCAGTAGGGCTGATGGTGTCTGAGGAAGGATGGCCCTGTAAACAGTCAGTGGGGCTGATGGTGTCTGAGGAAGGATGGCCCTGTAAACATTGTCAGTAGGGCTGATGGTGTCTGAGGAAGGATAGCCCTGTAAACATTGTCAGTGGGACTGATGGTGTCTGAGGAAGGATGACCCTGTAAACATTGTCAGTGGGACTGAGGGAGGATGGCCCTGTAAACATTGTCAGTAGGGCTGATGGTGTCTGAGGAAGGATGGCCCTGTAAACATTGTCAGTAGGACTGATGGTGTCTGAGGAAGGATGGCCCTGTAAACATTGTCAGTAGGACTGATGGTGTCTGAGGGAGGATGGCCGTGTAAACATTGTCAGTGGGACTGATGGTGTCTGAGAAGGATGGCCCTGTAAACATTGTCAGTAGGACTGATGGTGTCTGAGGGAGGATGGCCGTGTAAACATTGTCAGTGGGACTGATGGTGTCTGAGAAAGGAAGGTGCTGTGGGACTGAATGTGCATAGGAAGCCTTAGTAGTTTGCTGGTAGGGATATTAACTTTTTTCTCAACTAAAAAAAGTCTCTGTTATATGTGATTGCAAGTCTTTTTATGTAAAACCTTCATGTTAAAGCTCAGGTGTGCTGAAAGTCATCTGTTTGCTCTGAAGTTTAACACATACTATCACACAAACTACTATTGTCTATACTGTACTGTCCTGACTGCCATTCTCACAACTACCATATAATCCTTGTAACTAAATAAAATGGTTCTAATGCATTCTGTCATATAAACATGAAATGATATCATGTATTTCTGTAATAACCAATTAAACAAATTCAGTAATCAATACGATGGATTTTTTATTTTGACTTGTAACTATGGAAGGATGCATTATTTGATAATAAATGTGAAAAAAAAGCCTTCCAATCAGTTTGCTGGTAAAAATAACTTTTTCACCAAAAACATCTCTGTTATATGTGATTGCAAGTCTTTTTATGTAAAACCTTCATGTTAAAGCTCAGGTGTGCTGAAAGTCATCTGTTTGCTCTGAAGTTTAACACATACTATCACACAAACTACTATTGTCTATACTGTACTGTCCTGACTGCCATTCTCACAACTACCCTATAATCCTTGTAACTAAATAAAATTGTTCTAATGCATTCTGTGATATAAACATGAAATGATATCATGTATTTCTGTACATAACCAATTAAGTACAAATTCAGTAATCAATACGATGGATTTTTTATTTTGACTTGTAACTATGGAGACATGCATTATTTGATAATAAAAAGAAAAAAAACCAATCCAATCACCGCTTCAAGGTAAAAATAACTCATTCACCAAAAACATTCAGGTATCAAACAGTCAACCAAATAGGACATAAACTCATTCACCAAAAACATTCAGGTATCAAACTTTCATCCAATACATCCACACCCAGTACCGTCAAACACAAGGGGTAAGAATGGAGCTAATTAAAGTCAGAGGAGATAAGTCTGAGGTAACATATCCTTGTCTGAGTATAGGATGGAGACATGTTTTGAGAGTTATGGGGAGGTGGGATCATCCATAGAATTTCAATATTGTATACAAGGCAAGGACATGTAGAATAAAATTTGATGGGATTGAGGTAATGCTGAGAAGGGAGGGATGTGGTGTTGTTTGGGGTGAAACTAATGACAATGCTTAATATCATACTTATCGGATAGCAATGTAGAAGACAAAGCAGTAGGGGGTTAATGAGGAAAACAAGCTGGTGCAGAGTCTTTTGAGTGACAGACTAGATCAAACTCAGAGGTCAGACCAGATAGAGGTCAAGTCTTGTGGGACAGATCAAACACTGGTCTTATGTGGGACATACCAAGCACTGGAGGACTTGTGTGGGACAGACCAGATACTGGACTTGTGTGGGACAGATCAAACACTGGTCTTATGTGGGACAGACCCAGCACTGGAGAACCTTTGTGGGACAGAACAGACACTGGACTTGTGTGGGACAGACCAAGCACTGGAGAACTTGTGTGGGACAGACCAGACACTGGACTTGTGTGGGACAGACCAAGCACTGGAGAACTTGTGTGGGACAGACCAGACACTGGACTTGTGTGGGACAGACCAGACACTGGACTTGTGTGGGACAGACCAAGCACTGGAGAACTTGTGTGGGACAGACCAGACACTGGACTTGTGTGGGACAGACCAAGCACTTAAGAAATTGTGTGGGACAGACCAGGCACTGGAGAACCTGTGTGGGACAGACCAGACACTGGACTTGTGTGGGACAGACCAAGCACTGGAGAACTTGTGTGGGACAGACCAGGCACTGGAGAACCTTTGTGGGACAGACCAGACACTAGACTTGTGTGGGACAGACCAAGCACTGGAGAACTTGTGTGGGACAGACCAGATACTGGACTTGTGTGGGACAGACCAAGCACTTAAGAAATTGTGTGGGACAGACCAGGCACTGGTCTTATTTGGGACAGATCAAGCACTGGAGAACTTAAAGAGACCAAGCCTTGTTTGGGACAGACTAGATAGAGCTAATAGGTGTGGTACAAGCATGAAGTGTACTGATATGCTACTAGGAGAAACATTTTACCAGGTGGTAGTGGAGCTTGTACTGATTTTCTTTTTGTTCCAGCTGTGAAACCACAAATAAAACAAATGTGTCACACAAGTGGGTTGGAGCAAATAAAAAATAGATGTGTAAAAACAGAGTTACAGCAAAACCAAAAATCTCACATCGAAAATTGGTCACACAGAATTATAAAATATAATCTTTATCACATTTTAAGAAAAAAAAAATATGCTAAAAAAGACAGAACAAGTCTTACTGAAAAGTGTGTGTTGATCTAAAAATACCATGATAACTGTTATATATGTCATTTACTGTTTTCATATTCTTGCAAAAAAAAATTTAAAAAAGCAAACAAAATATCATCTGCAAATAAGGGTATATGGGAAGGGTATCTGTTTGTGGTGAAGGCTTCGTGCAGAACTTGTAAACAAGATTTTACCCCGATTAATGACTTTCTTTGCTGATTCCTTTTCCATGTCTTTTTCTTAAATCAGATAAAACAGAATTTTAGTCCTCAACACAATGACACATCATCTGACAAGTGTGGATAGAATGGTAACATTTTACTGTTAACATTAAAACACCACTCCTACAGTAATAATCCTTTACTGAGTATACTCCTTTATTTACATATACCAGGATACTTTTAATTCTTTATACCTATATGGTGGTGATGGTTTTGAAACCTTAATGCAGACAAGTTTTCATTTTTAAGTAAAATATCAGCAATTTAAATGAAGGTCTAATTAGTTACACCAGTTAGTGATACACACTGTGTCCTGGGTTGTGATTGGCTGAAAAGAAAGATTGATTCTGATTGGATATTTTAGTTACCTAGTTCTGCCATGCCCTCTGCGATCTGCTTGCCCTGGGTCTTGGTCAGAGAGATAGATGTGTGAGGGTTACGCTGGGGAGGCTGGGGCGCTGCAAACAGATCCATTGTTAGTTATAATACATGCACCTATCATGCTGGTTGTATACACCCAGAAAACAATCTAAGGGAGTATATACATTTATTACTGGCAACCATACCTTATACACATATAGATGTAGATATTTCAAAGATAACATAAATCAAACCTTTTTCTGCTTTAATCTATTTTCTTTAATTTTATTTTAATTAGGATTGGTTGTAAACACATCTCGAAGATTTTGCCTTTCAATAATTAAACATCCATTAAAGTCCATTGTAACCTTATCCTTGGAAGATTCTGTCATTTTTAATTACAATTATCCAAACAATGCACAAAAATCGATCCTGACTTAAATTGTCTCTTCAATCACAGCCTTAATCAACAGATTGCTTCTTTAATCAGCTGATGGTCTTTCTACACATGTATTTACATAAGGTAGGATGTTGCCACTGACGTCTACTGGTAAGCTACACCATCACATCAGACTCTAGAGGGGATTTATCACATAGCTACCCCGTTATCAGTTGTTTTATTTTCTGGGTTTATCGCCCCATAAACAGCACGGTTCACTATCATTTGAACAACATACTGGAAGTCTGTCACATGACATAATTAGGGTAAAGTTTCACCAAAGAGCATCAAACCAGGCACCTCTTATAATCATTTGACTATGTGTAAGCCAACCCTGAGACTACTGACTGAGCTATTGCGGCTCTTCACTATTGTAAGTTTAATAACATCCACTACATTATCATTTTGTTATCACAGACATTTCATTTGATCACGCTCGTAACTCTGTCACATCATAGATACCTTGTGATGCCATCAGGGCTGTCACCAAAGAAATTGATATAGAAATCGAAGTTATGTGATAAATAGAATCTTACATTCCTTTACATTTAATGTGAGATTTATAAAACTAGACTTATATTTTTCATTTCACCTCACCAGAGACTCAGTAAAATGAACAATTCTTACTACATATCCCTAATGGATGGAAAGTGAAGAAAAATTCTCTGTATATAGGAGGACATAACATTGTTTCATCAATTTATACCAACACCATCTATTCCATACTAAACCAAATCTAAGGGTCACATATTAACACTGGGTAGTTTTAATGCAATTATTGACACAGCATGTTGAGTAATAATTGTACGACAAAAAAATACACTGATGACATTAACTTGATAAATTTAATAACATTCACAGAGTGTTGAGAAGGTGTCAGAGTTCTACAATTAAGTACAGCATGCTAAGACTTTCTAGTGTAAAACTGTCATCCCCTGACAAAACGCCACCTCAGAATATCCACCTATACAACAAAGTTATCTCTTTTCCTCAAAACATTTTATGTAATTTTTTATCCCGTTAATTAGATGTCATCGTCGTCGTCTTTGTCGTCGTCGTCGTCGTCACAGACAATGACAATCCCTATTGATTTTTATTTTTCAGACTACAGAGACAGAGGCAGGCTTTATAATGTGGAATAACCTGAATGACCACCTGTCTTTCTTGATCTAAATCATTTCTCTCGTTTGCCTGTGGGAGACTACGAATCCTACCCTATATCTCCATATCTGTAGTGTTTTATACCATCTCCATATCTGTAGTGTTTTATACCATCTCCATATCTGTAGTGTTTTATACCATCACCATACTTGTGGTGTTTTATACCATCTCCATACTTGTGGTGTTTTATACCATCACCATACTTGTGGTGTTTTATACCATCTCCATACCTGTAGTGTTTCCTACCTAAGTCTCTGTTGTTTCCCTATGGCAGGTTGAATATCTAACCCTATTTTATACTTTAGTGTTCTTTATGACCTCTATACTCCTATATACCCACCAGCTTTCTTGCCCCCGCGGGTAGGGAGTGTCATCGATCCATCTTGGTGCTGAAGCCACTGGTCAGCTGTCTCCTGCCGCTGTACTGTGACCACTTTCATGGCGAGGGTGTCGCCCGCCTGTCGAATCAGCTGCACCACACGATCATGTGAAGCTCGTACCACATTCTCTCCATTGATCTGAAATAAAGAAGGATTAAAATACATAAGTAATATCAAGATACAGTAAAAGTGACAAGATAAAGAAAACAGAGATTTTGTAATATCATATTTACAGATCTAGGCCCCAAATATCACACAGGAGTGTAGTATCATATTAACATATCTGGGCCCTAACATCACACAGGAGTGTAATATCATATTAACATATCTGGGCCCTAACATCACACAGGAGTGTAATATCATATTTACAGATCTGGGCCCCTAACATCACACAGGAGTGTAGTATCGTATTTACAGATCTGGGCCCCTAACATCACACAGGAGTGTAATATCATATTTACATATCTTGGCCCCTAACATCACAGAGGAAGTATGATATCGTATTTACAGATCTGGGCCCCTTAACATCACACAGGAAGTATGATATTGTATTTACAGATCTGGGCCACTTAACATCACACAGGAAGTATGATATCGTATTTACAGATCTGGGCCCCTAACATTACACAGGAAGTATGATATCGTATTAACAGATCTGGGCCCCTAACATCACACAGGAAGTATGATATCGTATTTACAGATCTGGGCCCCTTAACATCAATTATTCTGGTTTTGAAAAAATATACCCTTGAAAATGTATACCTTATCATATTGACAATTATAACTATTCATGTAATCAAAAGATTTTAAGGTAATGTCATTTCCATTTAAGTAGAATAATGTCTTTGATTATTCATAACAAATATCTGCTGGTACAAATCACAATTGGTGATAACAGAAGCCAACGCCTACAAAGTCAACACAAATGAGCCCTTATTTAAAACTATCAATGGCTCGTGATTCATGTTCAGCTGGCTCCATCCCAATCTAAACAAAACACTGTGATTTTTACCTTTTTTTCTGCATTTCCTTTCCGATTAATCTCGACATACATACAGGATATAGATTGATTACTAACACATCCAGACTAGAGATATTTTCCTACCACAAGTGAAATCTCTAAAACTATTATTTACTTCATGGGGCTCAATTTGTAGTTTTTCAAAAATATTTGTTTTGGTAAGCACTTGATTTTATTAATTAATCTTGCTCACAACATCCAGTAGAATATGTACTATAATCCATGTCAACTTTTATGTACCATTTTGAGGACATACACAGAGTTATCTATGATTTAAACAAATCTTTAAAAAACTCGAAAAATTAATAATTTGACAAAACTATGTATTTGGTATGATGATCTGTATTAAATTTTTGCTCTCCCTTTACTTAAGCTATTGGTGATTGCATATATTCATTTGAATTTCTTCGACCTTTGAATGTTTTAAAATTATATCATGCCAGGCTACCCAGACAAGGCTGACCCCATAACCCCAGTTATCACAGATTGTCAGATCACATGACAACTACATGTTAACCTCATACCTACATAGGATCAACACCTGAACACAAATATGTAGGTCAGGTACCTATCCCCTATTCAAAGAATGAAATCTTCTTTCTGTTTCCAGAAACTATTTTATCAAACATTATCAATATCAGGTCGATTTCTCATCTGTTCAAGTGTCACATGACTCAGGTATATGTATACACATTCTAGATTATGTCATTCCAAGCTATAACAGTATTTTATGATAAGCTGTGAGAGATCTAATATTATCCAAGATATTAGGATAAAATATAATGGCTACTTACACATTATAGTATTACATTACAGTTACCTCCCTTTAATATAATAAATATACTGAAATAATATCGTTGTAAAGAAGGATATAGCCTTAAGTGTGACAGCTCATTACTGCTGTCTGGATACAACAGCAGCCATCAAACAATAAACATTTAATGAAAACATTCCTAACATCTTATTATTATGGTTTATAGTGACATAAGGAAGCTGAGAAATTACTGTAGCACCACAGTGATAAACATTTAATGAAAACATTCCTAACATCTTATTATGAGATAAGGGGGAGACAACTGCATTAGAGGGGAGGTAACTTACTTCCAATAAGAAATCTCCAGACTTGAGTCCTGCTCTGTCCGATCGACTTCCTGGGTCAACACTGTCCAGGTACTGAAGGGCAGGAAACTCTGCTGTGGGACAAAAGTCGAGTTCTCCAGTTGCATTTGTCTGGGCTGTAACAAATGGAGAAAAGTTAGAACATGTTATCTTCATGGTGTGATTAGTTTTAGATCTACATTTAACAACCAATAGTCATTACCAGGTTCAATAGATTTCTTTCTCTTTTTGGCCAAGAATCCTCTACTAAGGCTCCTTTTCCAAGTTTTAAGAACACTTTCGTCAGGTGTTTGTGATGTGACAGACACTGTGTCTGTCTGTGTGTCTGATTCCACATCTACCCCTGCTGACTTTGTATGTTTGGCAGAGAAGCTGACGGTTCGTCCTGACTTAACAACATTTCCCATCCTGAGCAACGTCAGCCACTATTTTAGAAATACCTCTCTAGGAGCGACAGTAATTTTGATTATCACAAAATACCTCTCTAGGAGCGACAGTCATTTGATTATCACAAAATACCTCTCTAGAAGCGACAGTCATTTGATTATCACAAAATACCTCTCTAGGAGCGACAGTCATTTGATTATCACAAAATACCTCTCTAGGAGCGACAGTCATTTGATTATCACAAAATACCTCTCTAGCAGCGACAGTAATTTGATTATCACAAAATACCTCTCTAGGAGCGACAGTAATTTGATTATCATAAAATGCCATGACAGACACTTTCCATCATTATAAATTTTTTATGGAAAAGGCAATTCAATTATCAAAATGCATTTCTTTGAGAAACACAGGTGATTTCTGACAGGAGATCAATATTTTTGAACTTGAAGAAACATGAATACACAGCATTCTATTTCCAAATTCCTTCACCTTTAAGTACCAATTGTGTCTGGTAAACAAAAAACAAGTACTGATTCAGTTGTTACATCAAACCATATCAAATTTAAATTCAATTTCTGGTTACTTATCCAACTCCTTAAACACATCATTATCGACTTGGTCCACAACTCCTTAAACACATCATTATCGACTTGGTCCACAACTCCTTAAACACATCATTATCAACTTGGCCCACAACTCCATAAACACATCATTATCAACTTGGTCCACAACTCCTTAAACACATCATTATCGACTTGGTCCACAACTCCTTAAACACATCATTATCAACTTGGTCCACAACTCCTTAAACACATCATTATCAACTTGGTCCACAACTCCTTAAACACATCATTAGGCAGATGATTAACAGCGATGACAGTGAGAAATATGGTAGTCTTTCAACATCTCCATTTCTTGAAATATCTAACGTTTTAACTTTTCCATACACTCAAACATTATTATCAATAGAAAATGAAATCTTTTCCACCAGCACCAGTACATAAATATGTCAGATTGTGATATGGGTGAGGAATTTCTGTGGGAGTGTGTTTCATTCAACCCTGACCAATCTCTCTTGATAATCGCTGTCATGTTCAATACACTAGAAAGGTTATTAATACCAGGTGTATAAAGTGTACTTCAATACTCTTTGTTAGATCTCTTCTACAGCCTTACAACACAAAACACAGTGGAGTTTTTGCAACAAACATGCCTCTAATTATGACAGTGACATTGTACTTTTGTTGAGTGTAACAAAAGAACAAATTCACTTGATGAGCCTTGGACCTTACAGCTGACTTAACTTATAAGCATTTTAAACCTCAGATTCTTAAAGTCGACCAACTTTTTCAGTTCACTTGAACAGGTCTTGAAACAGGCAGTTGTTTGCAACAGATTTTGAGTTGGCCCAAGTTAATTATCTTTTGAGAAAACATTGACAGCAGGTATTTGAAACGTGTTAGAAAAGTAGGCAGTCAACTGTGAGATTTGGTGACCAGTGAAAACCATGAACAGTTAACAGAGAAGTGATACAACTCAGTAAACATCTATAGTGTTTTACACTAATTCTTGTTTTGTTGCGTTTTCCACAATAATGTCAACTTCATGGAATTTCAATGAAAAACACATGTACTTACTGTCAAATTTGCTACAATTGATGCAAGATTTACTGATATTTTTTGTGTAAAATCTTGAGACAAAATCTGGAATCTGTCTCCTAAATGAAGGAAGGTTGGTATATAAGCATTGAAACAAGGAGATGTGACTGTGGGTGTCAGTTTGATCTAGTAATGGTCACTCTACCTGAACAGTGACTACAAGGTCTCCTACTAAATATGTCAATTTGTCCATAAACATCAGTGTAATAGGCCAGAATGAATCATAAAGCTGACTGTTTGACACACTAAATAGATTTTTTATCTCAATACTACAGGGATTTGTTATATACATCTACACAATATACTGTAACTATTGGTCCTATGTCTAGAACTGTATCAGGGACTTACAACATAGAACTGTATCAAGGACTTACAACATAGAACTGTAGCCTTCTATTTATAACTTATAACAGAAAACATTTCAATGTCCTACATTTCTATTGACTGACCACAATGTGGGTCGCTGTACAATGATACTTATATCTGTCTGTGATTAGTTCATAAAAATAGTCTGAAGTCAAAATTTGGTTTTAATACAATTGATTGCCCCCAATATCCAGAAAGTTTGAGCTGTCCAATTCAACTGGGATGGTGACAAGTGTGTCAAACCTCAACCTCTTTCTTGTCTGATAGAGATTTACAAAATCTACAATATCACTTCTTGTTAACTCCGAAACATAACAACAATTATTTTGGAATATCGCTTGATTCACTATAATCAGACGCTACCATGGTATGTAGGATGAAATAAGAAAATAGGATGCTACTAGACCTTAGAATAGAGGTCTAGGTAAACTATTACAGCTTTCTATTGAAAACTCTTTGTTGATAATCTTTGTTAAAGAATGTCTCATATTTTCATTAAACATGCTATGTTGATTTTAAGATACATGCCTAATGTTACAATGCTGATCAGATTCGTGTCTAGAGACAACCAAACCTCTTCTCAATCATGTAGCAGTAATAATACACGTTCAACCAATCTCTAGTCAACACCATCCCCTCCAATCTCTAGACAACACCATCCCCTCCAATCTCTAGACAACACCATCCCCTCCAATCTCTAGACAACACCATCCCCTCCAATCTCTAGTCAACACCATCCCCTCCAATCTCTAGACAACACTATCCCCTCCAATCTCTAGACAACACTATCCCCTCCAATCTCTAGTCAACACCATCCCCTCCAATCTCTAGACAACACCATCCCCTCCAATCTCTAGACAACACCATCCCCTCCAATCTCTAGACAACACCATCCCCTCCAATCTCTAGACAACACCATCCCCTCCAATCTCTAGACAACACCATCCCCTCCAATCTCTAGTCAACACCATCTCCAATCTCTAGACAACACCATCCCCTCCAATCTCTAGACAACACCATCCCCTCCAATCTCTAGACAACACCATCCCCTCCAATCTCTAGACAACACCATCCCCTCCAATCTCTAGACAACACCATCCCCTCCAATCTCTAGACAACACCATCCCCTCCAATCTCTAGACAACACCATCCCCTCCAATCTCTAGTCAACACCATCCCCTCCAATCTCTAGACAACACCATCCCCTCCAATCTCTAGACAACACCATCCCCTCCAATCTCTAGACAACACCATCCCCTCCAATCTCTAGTCAACACCATCCCCTCCAATCTCTAGACAACACCATCCCCTCCAATCTCTAGTCAACACCATCCCCTCCAATCTCTAAACAACACCTTCCCCTCCAATCATTATGAACTCTAATTAAACCATGCAGCACCTGCTGGATTATAGCTATATCACCATTTACACCACCATCCCTGTACAGATATCAGGAATCGGGTAGATCTACTCAGAATGAAATAAGCTTTTTTATAACCAGAGCCTGTTTGAGGCTTTCCATTTCCCAGCATAGGGCAAAGATTTCTCCAAAACTTTAAAACACTATCAATAACCCTTAGGTACAATAGTCAAGAGACTGCTAATATACCATTGGTTAAAAGTGTGTCCAGGCAGTTGGCCTTTATTGACCCTATATTTGTGTTGATAATGGTCAACATACTGTTTACCTCAGACCACTGATATGTAGACTAATCCCTATAGTATCATTATTATCATGCTAATTTACTACAGGACACTGTACTATGGGCTTAAGGTGTGGTCCATCTCACCATAAAACAGGACCAACTTCATCTTTATGTCAAATTCCTTTGCCAACAAATTGTCTGATAATGTGATGTAAACTGGCTGTTATAAAAAGGAGTATTCTGTTAAGAGAATTCCTTATTCATACAGATCTGTTGACATTTATGATGTACTAAAGATTTCTCCTCTGTCTCACGATCAGAGCCAAGATAAGAGGACAGCAGCATTTCTACACAGGTCAAAGTTCACAGTCCTGGCCTTTAACCCTAATTGCCAAGACGTATAACTGTTGTTAAGGTAAATCCAAGATGTTTAACTGTTGTTAAGGTAAACCCAAGATGTTTAACTGTTGTTAAGGTAAACCAAAGATGTTTAACTGTTGTTAAGGTAAACCCAAGATGTTTAACTGTTGTTAAGGATGTTTAAAAGGTAAACCCAAGATGTTTAACTGTTGTTAAGATAATCCAAGATGTTTAACTGTTGTTAAGGTAAACCCAAGATGTTTAACTGTTGTTAAGATAATCCAAGATGTTTAACTGTTGTTAAGGTAAACCCAAGATGTTTAACTGTTGTTAAGATAATCCAAGATGTTTAACTGTTGTTAAGGTAAACCCAAGATGTTTAACTGTTGTTAAGGTAACCCAAGATGTTTAACTGTTGTTAAGATAATCCAAGATGTTTAACTGTTGTTAAGGTAATCCAAGATGTTTAACTGTTGTTAAGGTAACCCAAGATGTTTAACTGTTGTTAAGGTAAACCCAAGATGTTTAACTGTTGTTAAGATAATCCAAGATGTTTAACTGTTGTTAAGGTAAACCCAAGATGTTTAACTGTTGTTAAGATAATCCAAGATGTTTAACTGTTGTTAAGGTAAACCCAAGATGTTTAACTGTTGTTAAGATAATCCAAGATGTTTAACTGTTGTTAAGGTAAACCCAAGATGTTTAACTGTTGTTAAGGTAACCCAAGATGTTTAACTGTTGTTAAGGTAACCCAAGATGTTTAACTGTTGTTAAGGTAACCCAAGATGTTTAACTGTTGTTAAGGTAACCCTGATAATCAAAAAGTTAAACTGTTGCCAAGTTAACCCCCAGATCAGAGAAATGTATTACTGTTGCTAAATTTCGCTGATCTGAGGTAACATCTAACAATAAAGCATCTTATAGTTGCTAAGTCAACCCTGATCACAAATATTCCGGCCAGAATGATCTACAAAAATGTCACATTTCTAACCCCCCCACCCCCCCCCCTAGCTCTATTTTTGACCTTTTTCTGTGCAAACTTGAACAGTAATTTTGTATACTGTAGCCATAATAGTGCAACAATCATCAGAAAAACTTATAAAATAAGACAGAATATTCATCATTTACTGCTTAAACTCAAATTCAATCAACCTACATGGTTTCTTACACACTATAGTCTTGGCAAAATGCATATACAGGGGAGATAACTCAATAAGATTCCATAAATAATAACATCTAAAGGATGTTACCTACATGGTTCATTCAACCATAAATCTCCAACACCAGGGTCTCCTCGATTTTTCAATCTTTTCCATCGAAAACACTTGATGATTTTCCGCTTACAGGCCATCCTATGTCACAATGATACAACCCAGCAGCTAGAGGAATCACAGGTTTTCTCAAGAAAATATGAGTAAATCTTAACACTAGTCATGACTTCACAAAGCCTGAAGTCTGAAAGAGGAATTGATTTAATTGAGGCGTTGCCAACATATGTTTTAAACAGTGGCAACAGCTTGGCATCTTCTTCCTACCCAAACTAAACCCCTGAAATTCTGTGATGGACCCACCTGGATTTTAATGATCATAATGTAGTAGAGTAGTGAGGGGTGGTCAAGGTGAACAAATCAATGAAGGATTTCATACTGATCAGTCAGTGAAACTGGAGGGAGACTAGGGATGTCACCTTGTTATAGATACAGCTGTTCCAACAGGAGGCAACTTTTATATAGAATTATCACACATTAGACCATAACAATTCATGTCACAATTTTGCTGAAGTCTTTCCCCAGGGAAGTATCTAACATAGCTGGTGAAGAAATCCAAATATTTTCTTAGAAATCAGAAACCTTAACAAAAGCCTTTACATATGACATTGATAGATCTGTGACTTAGATCCCAGTGATTAATTAGATATTTAAACAACACATACACTCACCAGATGTCATTACGACACTTGTCTCACTTATATCCTAGTATTACTTATAAAATCCTGTGTTACATGTCAATTTCATGCTTCAAGTTTTTACTTGACAACAACACACTTCACAAATCATTGTTGATGTAGTTACGTATATCATAAAATATTAATCACATATATATATCTATATAGTCCCAAATCTATATAGTCCCATATCCTGTGTGAAGGATACCACTGATACATTGTTACAGGCCCCTGTGTGAAGGATCCCACTGAAACATTGTTACAGGCCCCTGTGTGAAGGATCCCGTAGAAACATTGTTACAGGCCCCTGTGTGAAGGATCCCCCAGAAACATTGTTACAGGCCCTGTGTGAAGGATCCCACTGAAACATTGTTACAGGCCCCTGTGTGAAGGATCCCCCAGAAACATTGTTACAGGCCCCTGTGTGAAGAATCCCGTAGAATTTGTTAGTGGGGCAAACCTTTGATTGCTCCTTAGTACAAAACTTCAAGAATGTTCTACATTTTTGTCTGTAAACACTGATGATATTGTTTAGTCAGGACCAAATGTTGTATCTGAGCTCTTGCTTGTTTTACACTGAAAAGTTTAATAAGTTTAGCACAGGTAAAAAATGTTCACCTGACAAGTGTGAAATAGGTACATGTTCAGGTCAGCTTTTCCCACAAAATCCCTCAGGCTTGTGATTTCGTCACTTAATTCCAGATAAATCAAATGTTTGTGTGCCTTCCATGTTTTACATTTAGATGATCCAGTTGTGTTATTCACCTTCAGTGACACAGGGTAACACTTAGTCCCAATAACAGACCAGCAAAGAAACACAGCTTCCATATTGTGTACTTAACTTACTGAAAAAAATGTCTTCAACAAACAATAAATTACTCAATAATGTATCTAAATCATCAGAAGTAAGCAATGTTCTGTACATGCCTTCTATCTTGTTAAATGACTTATCAGTCAGAGTCAGCTGAATCTGGTGGTGATTCCAGGTCTCTGGACATGAAAGCTAACTAGTAGATATCGGGGGAAGGGGACGACCAAAACCTCAGGTGTACTGTCAACAAAACTAGGATCTTCAATAAACTCAGGCGACTGAACAGCCATTCCTGTCATGTTTCTCCAACACTTGGTGGTGTTCATGGCCAACCTACTGACGTGTAAAATTTGTTGATATGTTTTACCACACTAGGCCAAATTCATTGATCCTGACTTGAACACTTGAGTCTAAGCACACTTCTCCTGTGACCCTTCAGTTATAACAACCAACTCAAAAACACATTCAACAAAACTGATCTTCTTAAAACAAATATCAAAGCCCTGAAAGTCATAAATTTGAATTTTTTACTTCCTAATGTATCACAGGTAGTGTATTTACAATCTGGCCCTAATCACAGCTAAAGAGTGTACAATATTACACAATCTATAAGACAAAGTGGATCACATCATTGACCCTGGTACGTGGTTCACAGTCACCACAGTTCAACAGCAGATTTTAACATTCTGCTCCTGAATTTCTTCTAAATTCAATGCGATATTGAAGTCACAACCTATACAGTATATTGAGGTTGGATAATTTTCAAAATCGGGAAGAAAATGAATCTTTCACATGATATGTGTTATGTTTGAAAGTTAAATGTTTAGATGTAATGTATAAAGATTATAGTCCAATCAGAGATACATACCATGTACAAACATTTATTATCAGATTCTCCTGTACTGGAGGGAAAGAGATGTGCTGCTATCTCAAGTAGGGTCACAGTGTCATCCTTGCAAAAACAATATCTATTGGTCTGTTATTTTAACATTCTTGTTGTTGCAGGTTTAAATCTATCAAATGTAAACCGATCGAATACCCTGGCCAACTATTCAGGTACTAACTGACCCACACCAGAACTTACACAGAGAAATATATAAAGTTTAAACCATGATGTACGAGACCCAAACTGTCAGGACTATATCTAAAAAAACCATCAAAAATATAGGAAATTAAATCATGCTTTGAACCATCAAAAAATACCCTAAATCCTAACACCGAATGTAATTCCTACTGACAAAGCTTTAAGAACCATCCTGACACCACCTACCACACAAGGCTTGATGACGTACGCCCATAATACCCAGATGTAACAACATGGTCCTTGACCGAATGGATGTTTGACCAAACCCAGTCATAAATGTTGATAGCACAACTTCTCTACTTCAAGTATACTTCAGCTTAACTTCATTCAGCAAAGTTCATGGCTCTATAGAAATAACCAGTATATATGTCTAAAGTCTATCCTAGTAATGTAAGGCTCAACATCTGTACATTTTCCGTGGTTTACTTACATTTTGCTCCTCGTAGAACAAAGCCATATCCCTCAGGTCCACGCTGCAGTACAACTGTTCGTGCCGAATAGGAACTGTAATAAAGCAGTCAAACGTTACTACAACATTCATCAATATATTGTGTTGTACGATTCATAAAATCTATCAACATTACTAAAACATTCACAAATCTGAGACCGATTCACATAAAATTAGAAATTGTGATCAAAATACTACAATCTTAAGTCTCTGACAGACTGGGGATGGACATGACACCTAAGAACACTGATGACTGTCGATGACAAAACACTTAGAGGAAGACTGATGTAGACAACTTGGAACCAATAAAACCAAGAGGTTATAGAGATTTTACCATGACATTTTGGGTTTGATTCTTTGACCATACATGTCTATGGGTTCACTCACACACCAATTATGATTCTGTTCATGTTTACAAAAGTCTTTCTTTCAGTCAACAAATTTAACTTGTATAAGTTTGCAGATAAAACATATCTCATCATCACAGAACAGTTTCAAGCTGCTTCAAATCAAATGTACCATGAAGCATCTGAGAAATTGTTGTTCATGTCTTGAACGACATCATAACATATATAAAGGTCAGAGTATTGGATTTCCAATACAACTTCAGAAGGCAGAGCTACCTGTAGTGGGACAGGTAAACACACCCTACTGTGTCTATACCTCTGCAGTGTCTTTACGTACAATGTGATTCATCATTGCTCTATGTAGACTATTTTTCCATGCAGACAAATGTTCTCATTCATCTCCAGACTGTTATTATAAATTGTTACCTGTTAACTCCTGACACAATCAAATATACACATTACCAGTGTACACAGATGGAGTTCAAAACGATAACAAAAAAGGTTTTGGAGCCTTTATCATATTTAAGTTGTTTTATTTTTATAGATTTAAAGATTTATGAAGTCATGCAAATATCTTCTTTTGTAAAGCAAAATGTTTGTCCCACCTGAAGCAGATCAACTGATGTGTATCTCACCTGAAGCAGGTAAACCTGATGTGTGACAGATACATACTGTAGGTAGATGGAGACATCAAGTGTTATCTTCTCACACAAAAGAAACACAAATCTACATATATTTCCATCAATCTACAATAACTTTATATATAGACCTGCATGCTCAGAGATACCTGGATTTTCCAGCCAGGACCACAGACACGTTCAATAGAGACATTAACCTTAAGAGTAGCAATGCTGACCTCCAGCACCCATTGGAAGTCTTACCAAGGACTTCATTGATCAGGATCACTTTATTGATGTCAGCTTAATGTTTTAGTCTATCTATAGCTGTAGTGTTATTATATCAATTTTTTAGTCTACCTAGCTGTACAAATAGTGTTATAATATTAATCACAAAAGAATAGAAAATGTTTATAAAGCACTCCCATCCAAATAACTGCCACTGTTTGATATAGTTCTAGATATAGTTTAAAGTGATCTTAAAAACTGGAACCATCAACACAAGCTCATTTGAGGTTTCTCATAACACTAGAGAGATGACTTTGGTTGATAACTTTCTATAAATAGCATTAGTGACCTTGAACTTAGAACCTGGAAATACAATTTCATACAAGAGTTCTATATATAAACTTTCTTAAAGTTAACATATAATTTGATCATGATTCTTTCTGAAATAAAGCTGCTAGATTGAAGTGTCTTGATGGATAGATGAACTTCTTTAAATACTTATTGTGACCTTGACCCTCGAGTCCTGGAACAAAAAACTCAAACTCCTAATAGAATTAAAATAAAGCTGTTAGAGTGATGACCCAAAGGTTAGTGACCGTCACAGGCGATAAGTGCTGTACTCTAAACTACATATATGCTACGGACAAAGTTGCCATTCTTAAAAGTAACATGGAAACAATACCTGCAACCAAAATATCCCAGAATAAAGGCTGATCAGCCAACCTAGCTACACAGGTATGGTATATACATATCATACATATCTATAAATAATACACACAAGTCATCAATAGATAATGGTGTTTGAGTCACCACCCAACTCATTTTAAACACCATCAGCATATTCCCACCCAACTCATTTTAAACACCATCAGCATATTCCCTCCCAACTCATTTTAAACACCATCAGCATATTCCCCCCCAACTCATTTTAAACACCATCAGCATATTCCCTCCCAACTCAATTTAAACACCATCAGCATATTCCCTCCCAACTCATTTTAAACATCATCAGCATATTCCCTCCCAACTCATTTTAACATCATCAGCATATTCCCTCCCAACTCATTTTAAACATCATCAGCATATTCCCTCCCAACTCATTTTAACATCATCAGCATATTCCCTCCCAACTCATTTTAAACATCATCAGCATATTCCCTCCCAACTCATTTTAACATCATCAGCATATTCCCTCCCAACTCATTTTAAACATCATCAGCATATTCCCTCCCAACTCATTTTAACATCATCAGCATATTCCCTCCCAACTCATTTTAAACATCATCAGCATATTCCCTCCCAACTCATTTTAAACATCATCAGCATATTCCCTCCCAACTCATTTTAACATCATCAGCATATTCCCTCCCAACTCATTTTAAACATCATCAGCATATTCCCTCCCAACTCATTTTAACATCATCAGCATATTCCCTCCCAACTCATTTTAAACATCATCAGCATATTCCCTCCCAACTCATTTTAACATCATCAGCATATTCCCTCCCAACTCATTTTAAACATCATCAGCATATTCCCTCCCAACTCATTTTAACATCATCAGCATATTCCCTCCCAACTCATTTTAAACATCATCAGCATATTCCCTCCCAACTCATTTTAACATCATCAGCATATTCCCTCCCAACTCATTTTAAACATCATCAGCATATTCCCTCCCAACTCATTTTAAACATCATCAGCATATTCCCTCCCAACTCATTTTAACATCATCAGCATATTCCCTCCCAACTCATTTTAAACATCATCAGCATATTCCCTCCCAACTCATTTTAACATCATCAGCATATTCCCTCCCAACTCATTTTAAACATCATCAGCATATTCCCTCCCAACTCATTTTAAACATCATCAGCATATTCCCCCCAAACTCATCATAAAACTTATTCAATGTTGCGCCAATATTTTATGTACCACAACTTACATATTTTTCTTAGAAAACTTTCGTGACAGCATTCTATGACACTAGTATGTCCAGGTGTGTCTACAAAGTTACTGTCCTCAGTATTCCACAGAGTCTATATCACAGAATATTACTACAACAGACTTCAGCCTTCAATCACATCTTCAAACAGACAACATATCAGGTAGGATCATTCACGACCTTGACAATATTTACAGGCTGTGTGAGGTTATGTAATTTACATTGCTGACAATTGTAAATCATCAAAGTTATCCATAACAACGTCTTCCCTATGCACCATCCTTCCTAAGGTTAAGGAAGTGAAATTCCAAAAGTTTTCCAATGTAAATTTCCAAGAATGAAGAGATGAAGAGTAGGTGAAGATCCACCCCGATATTGATAACGTTGTATAGCAGTAGTGACAATGATAACACTTCATTAGTATAAGATATGGTATGGACTCGTGACATTGTAATCTAATCTATAACACATAAGCCCTACCGGTACACAGGTGTATACCTTCTCTAGTCTATCATGCACGACTGACAATTAGTTTGGCAATTAGAACACCAGGTCAGAGGAAAATTGATCGGATGAGAAAATTTAGTGGAGATTCTGATAGATCACGACACAATGAAATGCACTTGAAAACCACCATTAAATATATACAAGATTTCTGTAGGAAAGACAGTATTTGGTGTTCTGTATGTATTGTGGAGAGGTTACTGATATGACAGCTTATTTCTGGTGTCTGTAGGAAAGACAGTATTTGGTGTTCTGTATGTATTGTGGAGAGGTTACTGATATGACAGCTTATTTCTGGTGTCTGTAGGAAAGACAGTATTTGGTGTTCTGTATGTATTGTGGAGAGGTTACTGATATGACAGCTTATTTCTGGTGTCTGTAGGAAAGACAGTATTTGGTGTTCTGTATGTATTGTGGAGAGGTTACTGATATGACAGCTTATTTCTGGTGTCTGTAGGAAAGACAGTATTTGGTGTTCTGTATGTATTGTGGAGAGGTTACTGATATGACAGCTTATTTCTGGTGTCTGTAGGAAAGACAGTATTGGTGTTCTGTATGTGTCTGTAGGAAAGACAGTATTTGGTGTTCTGTATGTATTGTGGAGAGGTTACTGATATGACAGCTTATTTCTGGTGTCTGTAGGAAAGACAGTATTTGGTGTTCTGTATGTATTGTGGAGAGGTTACTGATATGACAGCTTATTTCTGGTGTCTGTAGGAAAGACAGTATTTGGTGTTCTGTATGTATTGTGGAGAGGTTACTGATATGACAGCTTATTTCTGGTGTCTGTAGGAAAGACAGTATTTGGTGTTCTGTATGTATTGTGGAGAGGTTACTGATATGACAGCTTATTTCTGGTGTCTGTAGGAAAGACAGTATTTGGTGTTCTGTATGTATTGTGGAGAGGTTACTGATATGACAGCTTATTTCTGGTGTCTGTAGGAAAGACAGTATTTGGTGTTCTGTATGTATTGTGGAGAGGTTACTGATATGACAGCTTATTTCTGGTGTCTGTAGGAAAGACAGTATTTGGTGTTCTGTATGTATTGTGGAGAGGTTACTGATATGACAGCTTATTTCTGGTGTCTGTAGGAAAGACAGTATTTGGTGTTCTGTATGTATTGTGGAGAGGTTACTGATATGACAGCTTATTTCTGGTGTCTGTAGGAAAGACAGTATTTGGTGTTCTGTATGTATTGTGGAGAGGTTACTGATATGACAGCTTATTTCTGGTGTCTGTAGGAAAGACAGTATTTGGTGTTCTGTATGTATTGTGGAGAGGTTACTGATATGACAGGTTATTTCTGGTGTCTGTAGGAAAGACAGTATTTGGTGTTCTGTATGTATTGTGGAGAGGTTACTGATATGACAGCTTATTTCTGGTGTCTGTAGGAAAGACAGTATTTGGTGTTCTG